CTCTTTGCGTTGTAGGAGTATGCGGTGCACTTTGAGTTTAGTTGCCGACCGTCGGGGATTATCTCTTTATCAGGTTTAATCTCAAGTAGTTAATAAAGTGCGATGCTTTGTACTTTAACCGCTTCCATTGTTCGGCGCTGTCTCTGTCCAGTGCCCAAAGAAGAGGACGCTGCCGAGTTTCGATGAGTGTGCTTCGATGCAGATAATCGTTTGTGGTATGCCGAAACGATCTGAATATGCATTACCGAAAAAAAAACCGAAGAAGAAGCAGCAGTTCGGGCGTGATTATCATGGATAAAAAGTGCCTGGACTGGGAAAATTTAAACAGCCTGTATACAGTATGTGAACAAGCATTTTAATTATACTCGAACCTTTTAATGGTCTTTGTGGGAGTCACGTTGCCGGAGACAAATGCTAAAGCACTACGTTCTCCTTTTACTAAAATTAGTTTAGCATTCAGAGTCATCCATACAAAAGCTGTCCTATCAATCTCATTTTGTTAGAAGTCACATATATAGATGAAATGTTCAGATTATATTGGATATATTAGTGAAAGGCGTGACCAAGCACTCTGAGCTCATCTAGCTGCATCTATCTGTCAGTCCGCCTTGGCGATATGTCTGCCCGTCTATCTGTCCAGCTGTCTGTTCTCCTTAACTCTAATTCGAATATAGCTACACATTTGCCTCGAAAGAAAGTGTTTTTCTTATTTATTGATCCTACTTTGCTTGCCAAGCCATTGACATTCTCCAAGCTACTTTGATCTTTCACAAAAATCAGATATACATATACTAATTTAATTTCATAACAATTCTTAATAATACTTTAAGCAACATTCGTTTAGAAAAACCTTTTCTATTTCAATCTCATATTAAAATCTAAATTGTGATCGTTGGCAGCTGTTTGGATGGATCCATTACGAAAGTAAACAGTGCGCGAAACAGATGACAACATTCCTTCAATTGTCCCCCTCTGTTGAACAGTGATCAGAAATTGTCAACAATGGCAAAATGATTGTTATCCTTTAACCAAACCTCTTGTGGTAAGCCCAAATCCCATTTGCGACAAACAATTTAAGCGAAAATTGTTTAAGCAGCAGTAAAAATAAACCAAACGAGACTGCAGCCATATGCACGCGAAAGAAAGAAGTCTCGGACCTAGACCAGTATGAGGGAGAGGCAAATCCTTTGAGCAAATCTTTGCTCAGAACAACAAACGACAGACTCTGCCTCTTGTGTCTTGTCTCTGGTCTCTTGTACTCAAATGAAAACAAACCCAAAAATGGGATCTTAAAGGCTGCGACAAACTGTAAAAACAAATTGCATTTTGTTTCAATTATACAAGGATTACACGCTCGGCGACATACGTCTATGTATGTATGTATATGCACAGTGATCCAGATTCTATAGTTCGAGTCTCAAGTGGGTTGGCTTGGACAATTTGCACTTGATTCTTAAGTAGGTGATTTCTATTATGCGAGACATTAGCTGTCATACAAACGCCCTATTCAAGCCTAAGGGCACACAACCGGCCCAAGCACTTGATTAGCATCTGAATGCATTTGAATACACTCTCGAGTACACCTAGACTGAGGATGCCTGTTGCCCGTTGCCTGCTGCCTACTGCCTGTGTGCATGTGGCCATAAAATCTCAAGTACCTTGGCCATTGTGCGCGTAACGCCGGTGCCAGCCGGACCAACAGGTAGGATAATAAAACCGCAGACTGCAGCTTTTCATTTTCCAGTGCTGCCTCGTCAATGGCTCGGCCGCTGGGAAATTCGCTGGAATTTCCATCGGCCGCCGGCCCAGTTGATGTGCCATAAAATTATGGTGGCCCATAAAATTCATTAATCGCTGCTAAATGCGCGTCATTAGTCAACACGCGGCGGCGCAGGCGCTGCACTTTTCCAGGAAGCACTCGCCACAGGCACCCGGTCCAACTCCCTCCTTCCCCTTCTCCTTCCCGACAGGCGCGTCGCGTGAAAATGGTGATTAATGCTCTTAGTGCGTGGATTTAATAAGGATCGCACGCTTGCCCGCCTGCCGATCAACAGGTAGCCCAAAACGGAATGGAAGTGGTCTTGGAAAGTCCCTAATAAATGCGATTGATAAAGGACGCTAGAGACATAGCAACAAATACTTGTTACGAACTTCTCTTGACCCCATATATAAGCATTACAATAAATTTAATTAAATATGTTTTATGATCTTGATATTCAAACATGACTATAATTAGTTATGAATTAGTATATAATTTATTATATACTTTTTATATATGTTTAACTATCACAAGCATTTTTGTATCAAATAACTTACTCAGTTCTCAAAACGTATATAGATAGAGTAGAGTAGACAGATGGACACATTGTTGGCTCACACGGGTCTAAAAATATATACTTTATTTATTAAGTTTTGTAGCTATATATATTGACTTGAATCTTGCTGTAGGACTCTGTTAGACAAGCAAAATATATAGTTTTTTAAGAATTTGGGACTCCCATTTTAAAATTCCTAAAACATTTAAGAAATTGTATGAATATAATTAAAAAAATAAAATATTATAAATATTATATATTATATACATGTATGACTTATAGGAACACTTAATCAGCTAAAACATGGGAGCTTGATGGAATTCCATTTTTCATTTAATATATTAAGCAATCCTATAATATTTAATATACCCCAGTTCAATTATTATTAATACTTCTCTAGTTAGTAAGCCAGAGACATATAATAATTTTCGAAAATATTTTGTCTGCGTCTTTCCTACGAAATAAATGTAATAATTAGCAAAGAATTTGTGGAATTCTGTTAAGTAGGCTCTAATTTCATTTTAATAACTTAATAAATGCCAGAACTTTCTAAGAAAATTATTATAATAACAGAAGACAGACTGAGACACCCAGAGACGAGCTGTGTCTATGCACTTCAAACGCGATTCCGTTCAACACCAGGCAAACAAAAGAGAGGGAGAGGAAGAGGCAGAGGCACGGCGCTTGGGGCAAGCACACACACACACACACACACACGAAAGACAGCAGCAACAAAAAAATGTGTCTACTTCATTCATAAGATTTTTTAGTGGCGCCTGGCGCCAACATTTTTCTCTTGCGTGCTGCAAGCGCGGCAACTCGAGTGTGTGTGTGTGTATGCGCTTGACTGCGCCTCGCAGCACTTGACTTGTAGTGCCAACATTTTCATTAAGTCAAATGTGCCACGTACCTCCAAAAAAGATTTGCCTCTCGATTGTCGCCAGCCCCGCGGCGGGCAGCGTTTAAATGCACTTCGTTGATTTAGCGTATCGCTCATAATTTGTTTTTATAGTTTTGCATTAGAGCGCGGCACGGGGCACGGGGCATGGGGCACGGAGCACGGAGCATGTGGCTTGCGGCATACAGCATGATAAGTGCATTGCCATACCCCAGCAGCTGCAACTGGCGCTTATCAGCACTAGAAGCGGAAACCGAAAGTGAACAGCAATGAGTAGCAGGAGGTGGAGGTGGAGGAGGAGGTGAAGTAGCAGTGACTTCGGAGCAGTGTCAACTGTGCCGCAAAGCGTGGCGCCACGTCTCAGCTACTGCACAGATAGGCTGATAGTTGGGCATCGTCCATTGTTCTGTTGCCGCATAATGGAAAACTTTAATTGCCGCCACAACAATATTTTCAGTTTATTTTGCCAAATTGGGCAAGCTGTTAATTTTGGTACAAATTCGGTTCGAAAATAGATGCGAAGCTCCAAATCGAAATATTCCATCTGCCCACGCAAATATTTTTCGTCGCCTTCGCCGAGTCATCGTGGCTATTCCAGATTTTTATTTATTTGTAATACCCTGTAAATAGCTAAAACGGAGTTTGATTGTAGTGTAGCGCAAAGACATATCTAACTCATGCAGATCACTATTGGAGATACAAACGCCCATTGCCCTATATATAAATCTACCCTTCGCTGTCTTTGTCCATTAATATCTATAAATCACATATATTTTTATTTTTTTTATATTTATATCTTGGCTGACATATCTTTAATATTTGACTTTGTTAGGGCTTACATCATTGGCTTGGCTATTTTAAGACTCGTATCCATTCCCAATATCTTAAAGATCCTTTATTATTTCGATTCGATTTCGATATGATATTCCCTACCAATCTCGTCCAGATCAGATTAGAAGTGCGAAAGTCATTCTGACTTTATAGCAACCCAACACATGAATAGCATTTTGCTTGACTGTGAGAGAGTCAAGAGCACGACATGCAACAGTTCTGCATTTTTTGCGCAGGGTATATTGTAGTCGTGAGCCACCCGAACACGTGATTTTATTATTTGGTTTTTTGTCGTTGGTTTTCTAGTTTACATTTTGAATTTGGGCATCAAGCTTATGGGTCGCTGCGTCTACAGAAGCGCTACCAAATGTTGACACTTTCAATTCGAATGCAAAAGTCTCGAGTCGAACGATCCGCAAGCTCCCTCTCAGCTGCCCAGTCTCTCAGCCACTTCACCTGCGATCGCTGTTCACAATTTGTGATTCTCGTATGTAAATGTTGTTTAACGACTCTATATGAATTCGTATGTAGTATTCGTATATTTATTGTGTCGCTGATTGAATATGCAAATGCAATTTCACACGTTCAACACAGGTAAATAAGCCTGCGACTAAATACAAAGAATGGTTCTTCTCCAGATTGGAATACATACAGTGCCTCTGTGTGCTGCTCTCTGCCCACTCTGAAGTGCCAAGCTGGAGTTCTTCTTCTGTTTCCCATATAAATATTGACTTAATTCCTTCGGGCGTATGTCTCTGACCTACAGCAGGCACCAACGCTTTTGGGCGTGCAGGTGATAATGGCAGCTCCCCTGCCACATTCCGCTGCACATATAAAAAATTAATATTACCTAATAAATCTGTCAGAAGTATGGCTAACTGCGCTTTAACAGCAACACACAATAGGCTGAGAAAAATAATTTTTTTTTTTCAATTTATTAAAAATCCTAATTTTGTGGAACATCGATTTGTATATACTCTAAGGCGTTGCAGTTTGGGAGTATACAATAAATATTTGTGGGTCACTAATACTAGTATAAATTACACAAATAATACTCTTATTGAGCTCTTCTTTTAGGTGTTTTCCAACACTTTTCCTATGTACAGCGAATCTATCAACAGCAAAAGGTGGTATTGTTTCCTTATGAAATATTTTCATAAGAGTATTTGTAGATCAGAGAGCATCTCGAATTCTGTAGCCTGCGTATGCAAAGATTCAGGCAGTAGGGCGCGGCTGCGCTAACCGGGCGGTCAGTCGGTAAGTTATTTTTTTCCCAGACGTTTACCTGTCAAATGTTGCACTCGCACACGAAAAATGATGGAGTGAAGAGTTTTAATTTTATGACGCAGCAAAGGAGAGAGAAGCCTGGGACAAAGTAGGCGACGGCGACGACGACGACGGAGCCGATGATGATGGCGCCAAGAAATTAACGAAACGCGCCATAATAAACACAAGAAGAGGAACGACGCCGAGCGTCGAACGCCGAGTGGAGGCTGTAGGATCGTTGCTGTAGATCGCAGATGCACAGCAATATAACTGATGTGAATGTGTGATCCTTTGCTGGTCTGGTCTGGTCTGGTCTGGTCTGGTCTGGCCTGGTCTTTCAGTGGGCGTTATCGAAAGGTGAAGGTGATGTTGGGAATCAGGCATGGCTAATCTATTAAGTATGCAGTTAGACTATTAGGTGCTAGCTTATCTGGCAGCAGCATCGATCTTGTTAGTCGCTTTTAATTGGCTGTGAAAGGTTTGGCGTTCAGCTTCAGCTTCAGCTTCAGTTTCAGTTCATTCAATAAAAGTGTTTCATCTGCATAACGCAAACGGCTCAACACTTTCCCACCAAAGTCCATTGACATTATTCGACTGCTCATTTATCGGCAACAGCAACAGGGCACAGTCTACACATATGTAGCCATAGATACCTATATAAACACCGATACAAGATCGTATCTCACAATCAGTTACAACAACATGTCTATAAATTGCCGCAACCGCAACGCATACGCTCGATCGATCCATAGTTAATTATGCCTCCGAAAAAAGGTAGAAAACTAAAAAATTAAAACAAAAAAAAACTAAACATTTTTACGAGCGAAATTTGTAATCATTGCCACATTCATATGCAAATGGATTTCCTCCATGTGTCTGTATCTGTAGCTGTATCTGTATCTGTAGCTGAAATGTATCTGTAACTAAGGGCCAGCTGCTGCTCGAACGGCAGCTACGCGTCTGTCGCTTCTGTGCTGTCTTGGCCTTTCTTAAAGCGGCCGTGTTTTTGGTGTTAAAAGTACCGTATTGTTTGCCATGTATGCCAACTAAAAGTCTACGAAAATTATAAAAAAGAGAAGCAACATGCTGTGCGACTCCAGTCCAGATAGCGATAAGGCGTAGTGTGTCCCACAGGTTAATTTATTAAATGTTCCAGCCGTTCTCTCATCTCTGTGTGTTGTCAACGAAAAAGCCAAACATAAATTCCAGATGCGACATCTTATAATTTCTTCTTTGCTCTGCCTAGCTTCCATCTGTCTCTGCTTTTCTCTCTCTCTAGCACATTCTCTTTCTCTCTCTCTCTCTTTCTCTATGTGTGCTCTTGCACGGTAGCAGCTAAGGTTGTGAAAAAGCTTAAATTTTAATCAAAATTAGATCTTTATCTGCTGCAATTTATTTGCTTTTTTAACAAATATTTTCATGCTTTTCGCTCTCGCTTTATCTCGTTGAACTTCTTTTCTGACAGTGTATGTTCACGTGTGCGTGTGTGTGCGTGTGTGTTTTGGACTAATTGTAAATATTTAAGCTTTTGACGCCTTAGTTGAGAGGCTGAAAAAGAAGAACCATTGCAGTGGTGGCATAAATTGTTCTCGCTTTGAGTAATGGCCGTGTTCCTGTTGACTTAACGCCATATTTGATATACCCCGTAGATGGTATAAAGAGAGCAAGTATACGATCTTACAGTAGTATCCATTTGCATTGGAAAAGAACAAAGTAGAACAGATCTTAAACTTATTGAGAATTATAAGAAAAATACTTACAAAAGTACCGATCGTGTAATAATTCAATATTATTCTATAATATTGACTTTCTGAAAACTAACTAACAAAAAAATAACTGAATCTAGGCCTCCACTGCTCATACTTAGTACTGGGTATCTTATGCTCTATCATTCCTGCATTGCTACTTGTTTTCGCTTGCGTTAAGTATACCTCATTTCAAGACTTAGGGTGCTTGGTATCGGTAGCTTCTTCTCACTTGCGTCGCCAGATTCTTGTCTAGTTTTATAATAGATTAAGTCGGTTGGCTTTGTAATACCAACAATAAAGATTTGGTTCAAAGCTGTTTTACCACATGGCTTAGCATGTTTTCCAAAAACTGTATATATTTAAGAAAATCTTAAGTTCTTTAAAAAAAAAACCAATTTATTTCTCATTTAAATGCCTCTCAGATATTCATACAAACATTATACAACGATCAAATTTCTAGCTGAGAATCAAGTTCCAGCTAATGCGGACAGATACGCTTCGTGGAAGCAACTGCTCCATAAAAGCGAAAGTCTTGACGCCATTAAAGCAATCAACAACAACAGCATTGAGGCAACAAGTGTCAACGAGTGACTAGTGCCATAAGTACACATAAAATAAAAGAGGGAAATAATAAAAAACCGAGATAGACTCACTAGCAGACATGGTACATGGTGAGCTAGTCAAATAGGAGTACATGACGTGCTGGCTGGGCAGATGATACGAGAGACATTGGCCAGCATAAACAAATGTCCAACACAAGTCAAGATAATGGAGGGTAAGGGAGCAGGCAGCAGGCAGCAGGGGCAGGAGTTAGAGTTGGAGTTGGAGTTGGAGTTTGCTGTGCCGCAAGAGATTAAGGCATTTCCTATTTGACGTCAAACATGTTTTTAGAAGGTTTGTTCGTTTTTTATCAAGCCGCTCTGAGCATTGTAATTGCGCACTCATGCCCGCTGCTCTGGACCAAAGAAGGAGAGACAGAGAAACAGACAGCAAACAGTCCGTAGAATAACGAGAGAGTGAGAGACAGGGAGTGAGCTAGAGAGGGATTGTGCGACAACAATTACCCCGCGGCTAGCCGGTCAGCTAGCTACTCAATCAAAGCCAAAACACCGACACAATAGCCGAGTGGAGAAAATAAGGTAGCCAAAGAAGCCGTCAAATTGTTACGCATAATGGATGTTTTTATCAGGCAAAATGATTTCTTGACTACTGGACTTGGACTTGGCTCAGATATGGATTTAGATTCAGAGTTTCGGGTCCGCTTTTGTTGCTCGACTTGGCCCATTGTTAGCCGTATTTGTCGGCGATCTGCTGACTTGGCTTTGATGTCAACGCTCGCAACGCGTGGCCATTGAACTTTCAACCGAAAAATTGCATATTAATGAATTGATTTAAGCAACAAAGCGAATGCCAAAAACCATACTTAGCGCGCTGATTAGGCCAGCTGTTGATCACATTTAAATCGAGCGATCCATTTATTACACATACCACCAGTCCGCACCGTTCGAGCCATTCAAGTGCCAGCTCATTGAGCATCGAAGGTAAATAAACAAATATTATTGTCGAAAAATATAAATACAGAGCTATAAATGTATGCAGATTCTTTGGCTCCCAGAGACTGTGAATGATGTTGAAGAATGCCAGCCAAGAAAGAAGAAAAAACTACTCTCCAGTAGCACTTGAATTTTGAATATATGTATAATATTGTAATAACTCAAGTGTCTACACAACAGAAGCGCCTCTCAGCGCGTCGCGTCGCCGGCAACTTTAGCACTTAAGTTGAAGTCTGAAGCGCGTAAAGTCGAAACAGTCAGGCAGTCCGACCGTCTGTCCGTCCGTCCGTCCGTCCGTCTACATCGGGCTCGGTTTTGGACCGTATTTGCTTATGATAATTTGAGAGCAAACAGCAATCGACAGTGGAGCAGAGGCAATGGATGTTAAGGAAAGGTAAATCTTGTCTCGCCATAGGTCGTGAATGTGCAGAAAAACAAAAAGCGAAACACACGATTAAACACCTCTCAATTATATACACATACATGTGTGTGTCTGTTGTGGGGTCTCGCGCAGAGGTTCGGGTCTACCTGTACCAACCGAAGCCAAGTGGGCTGCTATGCCCCATTGTGGTCGCCTAGACCTACACCGAGACCCACATGATTATGATGCCTTTTGCTTGCTGAATTTTATTTTTAACTGTCCCCGATCCGTGCCGTCGTTTGAGATGATCGCACTTGCAAATACCCTGTAAAAAGGAGCGCTAAATAATAAGTCACTATTTAAATGGGTATCATAGATAGATGATAATGGGAAATGACATGCTTAGGTAGTTACTGATTACATCCTGTAAAAGTGAGCTATAAATAAATCTTTATTTTCGATAGAAGATAAGAGAAAAATATGCCGTATTGCTGGAAGGAAGAAGGCCAAGCAATTGAGGCTGTGAACTTCCAAAATGGAGGTCTAATATATATAAAGATAGAGCTCACTTGGAAACCCAATATAATAGGGTACAACAGGATCGTTCAACTGAAAATGCATTTAAAATTGTTGTTACTGTCGCCTTGTTGATTGAGTGACTTAATTTGCATACAAAAGTAGATTTACATGCCTCAGCCAGACAAACAGTTGAGCGTCAACAAATAAGCGTCGAGCTATCCTCCAGCCTCCTCCTCATGTCTGGTGCTGTAACAATGGAGGTACAACAAGTGGCAGCCGTTAATAGTCGTCTGTGGAGGAGCTGGTTCAATCAACAATCGGGTAGCTAAAAGTTTAAATCAATAAATTTTGGCATCGGTTCACTCAAAGCCCGTACTGAAAAGCAATAAAATGGGAAAAATACTCTGTCTGAGCATTCGTTATATTTTCCATGGAAAATTACATGAGCTTCGCCTGCCTCAGCTGTATGCTAATTTTAATTTGAATAGTCGTGTGAGAACAAGGCGCGTGCTCATCGCGGTTTCATGGTTAATTTTGCAGTGGAATATCGAAGGCTCCAGAGTGCAAAGTCATGGCAAGGGAAGTCAGGAGCTGCGGGAATTAATTAAAATACATTATATGCATTGTTCATTGCTCTAAGCCACATCCCAAATATGCAAAGATTATTTATTTTTCATTAAACAAATTTAATAGTGGATTGCAGCTAACTGAATTTTAAGATAAGTCGGAAAAGGGAGAATTCGAAATATTTAAAATAAATATCTTAATAACTTAGAGCTATATCATATTCTATTAATAATACACTTGATTTTTCTATTTCCCTATGCTGAGGCGGGAAATATATGATTATATTAAGCTAAAACTGAATTCTGAACTGAATTACCTAACTAAGGAACGATCTATGTGAAGACTAGTTGTGAGCTAATAAAATATTAATAAATTATTTGCGTAAAAAAACAAATTTGTTATAAAAATATAACGACAATATATTTTTATATTACTATTAAATAATAATAATATTATATTATAATATTATTTTTTCTCAGCTAAACAAACAAAAGATCCTATTATAGAAGAAATAATACTGTCTGAATAATCAATATAATGTATCTAGATCAACGAAATATATATAGAATATATGGTTTACCTTAGAGCCCTGTTGGAGCCCAACTGTAACAGTGCGGAAAATATGGTAAGTAAACGAGGTCAGGTATATATGCTAATCATGAACTAAGCTACTAATCTGAGTTAGCCTGCAAATCATATTTAAATGTTACTTTATTCTTCACATTGTTTGTTCATCTATAAATATGCTAAGATTTAAAGGTCTTGCTTTCATTTCGTTTTTAATATCAAGTCGAGTATCATGTCAGGCATATCTGGCTGATAAACTTGGTATTTAAATGAAACACATTCCTGTCTGAGTCAGCTGCAAGGAATGCAGCAGCGAAAGTACACGAGCTACCTGTTGGGCTGACGATACCGCCTCTGATACCAAACGGAAGTAGGCCCTAGAGCATTAGTCAAACAGCAGGCAGATAATTTTGGGCAACACCAATTAGCTTAGTGCTGACAAATTGCACAGCTATTGGCGAGCCCGTCTCGCAGACCTAGATCCAGGCAGTCAGGCAGTCCGTCAGGCAGGCAGACAGCCAGAAAGAGACGAACCTTTGCCTAATTGTTTGACCATTGCATATGGAAAGAGGAACCGGAAGCGTGCGCGACCAAATGTGAAAACACGAGGCATAAATTAACGCAGACACGCATATGTGTTGACTGCATGGCAGAGGGTATCTACACTATGCAGACGTAATTTGGGCGAAACGCCAATGCCAACAGCCAAGAGCTAGCAGCTAACAGCCAACAGCCAACAGCCAACGGCGGACAGCGGACTGCGAATAGCTAATAGTAAATTAATTTCTATCGCTTATCGCCGCTGGCTGCCACAACATAAGCCCAAGTGGATGTGTCAGCCAGTAAAGTGCTGTGTAAATTAGCTCACAGAACTATTTATCATGCAAACTCAGGTATTTCGCAGTAGTGCAGGACAGTCAGATAAGAGCCCAAAGCTATGGCAATGTTTAATTACTTGAGCCAGCCTAACGGAAGTGCTTCTCTTTGCTCAGAGATTGGAGCTGCAATATTTACCGAGTAGCATGGCGAAGATATACGCGATGCTGGCGCTGAAAGCGAAAGTTATTTTAGCAGCGGTCACAGGTGGCGTATACTTAACATTAACACAAAAGCTAAAGTTCAATTTAACCATATGATTAATTTAATTAGCTTCCAACAGATGGTAAAACACACTGGCCTCAATAGCAAACACAAATGTATTACATAATTTATACTTTGTGCATTTATTTATTATTTTTTTTTATTATTTTCATATATCATAATAATTTAAACAAATCTAAGAGACTACAAAATAGATACTTAAGTCGATGGCATATTCAGCAAATAGTTAAATTGGCTTCTTTGGAAATAAATTTTATCTTAAATCTCGCCTCAATAAATTCTATTGATGTCTTCAAACAAATCGTTGTTGAGGCTATAATAATTTTATAAGACATTTCAGGATGCATAAGACATAAAAATTTATTAAAAAACAAATTATTTTTTCATATTCATATTGTGAGCCATCTAAATACAACTGAAAAACAAATATGAAAAGTCGATAGCGAAATCAATCAATAATAGAACGGACGGAGTCAAAAATAACTGCGTAAACAATGTCCTCACTTTTGTTTGTTAGCTTTATTGTTATTGATCATTTATTAATCAAGAATATTTTGCATGATATAGGAACAATTTAATAATTAATTTCCTAAGATTAATATTTATTGTGCATGATTTACCATTTATTTGTGTATTAATTTAGACTTTTTTATGTATTTAATTATTATTGATGATTATAAAATAACAATAATTAGTGACTATTTCAGCATCTGTAGTCGTTGAGTCCCCCACGTAAAGACTGTCATGGACATATAAAAGGTTCATCTACTTCCCGTTTGCCGCCTTCGCACCAATGCAATCGACCGGGCAGCAAATTTGTAGACGACATGCGTTTCCGCAGCTTAACAAATGTTTTGTCAAGCTCAAAAAGGCCAGAACGAGAAGATACAATTAAAGAAGATGAAGAGAAAGAAGAAGAAAATGCTATAATCAGCCAGCTGCATCTGCAGTGCTCAGCTCGATATCGTGTTCGAGTATGAGATGCAGTCCATATCGGTGCCCGGGGTACATGCGTATGCCGCCATATCAATGCCGCCGAATGACGCAGCGTCAAAACCAAAATCAAATAAATGAACAGCAAAACGGCAGCCACAGCAGCAACTACTCTGGCGAAGACAAGAGGACCACCATGATGGCAGAGACTACAAATGGGCAAAGCATAAATAAGTATAAAAAGATGCCAAATGGGAAAAAAGGAAAACTAAAAAACAATTTCGATCATGGTGTATAATTAAAAGGCAACACTACACCAACACCAGCACATACACATACTCTGGCATACACACATGCGCAGACACAGTAGTAGAGGAGCATGTGATTGTCTGCTTCAGCTGTAGCGTCTGCTGACTGTGCAACTTCGCACTTCAAAATTAAATACAATTAGAAAGAGCGTGAGAGTGACAGAGAGCGAGAGAGATAGAGAGGAGAGAGGCAGCGCAAGCAATCGATCTGTTGAGGGCGGAGCTAACAATACGTGAACAAAAACCGTTTGCAGCTGGTGTCAATTTCAAAATGGAGGCGCCAACAAAGCGAGTGAGTGCTTAGTGCTAGACAGAGACGGCAAGCTAGCCACTCTTTGTGCACGTTCGGTGCGGCTTAACAGCCAATCACAGTGCTGCTGAGGGCAACCTGCAAGAGGCCTAAGATCTGAGCTGCTGAGCAGCGTTCACAACGGAACGGATCTTGCAGGTAATGTCGATCAATGGCTCGAACTCGTCAAGCTCGTTTTCGGTCAGCGGCGACGGCAGCAGCGACATTTTGTCGAACTTGCTCAGTTGAAATGCGAACTTGGCGAGCGCAAGACGCGAGTGTCGGTAAATCTTTGACCAAATCCACTAGACACGTTTCCAATTCCAATTCCCAACCAGTTGTTGTCATAATCAAATTAACACCCACACGCCTATGAGACATTTGCCACAACTACGCCACTTTGCCAGCTGTGATTTGCATAATTGACGCTAATCGAATTCGCCTCGTGGCCCGCATAATAGAACTGAGAACTCATGCTGTCAGCTTTCGTGTTTTGTTTTGTTGATGTCTGTGATTGAATTGTGCCAAAACTTAAACAAATTGTTAAAGTGTGAAATCTGTTTACCCATACATTGTATATAAATCATGATCACCATGAACGAGCTCGTCGATCTGCGCATGCAGCAGCACATCGCGCACGAGATCTACCGCCACCAGATAATGCAGCGTATACCGGGTAAGTGAAGCTCTGTCCCCTCCACTCCCCCGCACTCTAGTTGCATATTAATCAAAATTTTTCACTGCCGCCGGCACCAGCACAACAATCGCTCCAAAAGCTGTTAAGGATCATTAGCATTAATGGCCGCTACTTTTGGCCTGTCACATTTGGGGCACTGTTGTTTTTGTAACTCGATATCAGCGGGCTTAGTCGCTATTACCGTTTTTATGACCATTGGCCCATAAAGCTGACTAATATGGCAATAGCATTTCTCGATTTTGCATAAGCAAATGCGAGAGATCACAGCGGGGCCTCTTAAGTAGAAGCTGATAACAGCTGTTGGAGCTGTTGGAGTCATAACGCAGCAGGAAAGTCGCTTAAAAAACAATCTGCATTCTTAAACTAGACCTTCATATGATAACAACAACAAACGAGATTTGCATAGATCTAATTGTATTGTAATTATATTCTATATATACTGTAAAACAGAAAATCTTTAATTCCAATTCTAATATAGTTCATTGAATATTCCCTTGACTTTTAACACAATTTGTTTAGATTTGTATATTATTAGAGAGAGTTCTGGAGTTTTCTAGAGATCTTATTTATCAGTGTCCCATCATCAGATATCATTGCAATCAATATATACCTTAATAGATTTCAATATTATATGTTGAACAATTTAGAGAGCTTTGCATAAATAAACAATTTGCCGATTAAGTTTATTTGTCAAGCACAAACTTAAGTTAAGATATATTGATCTAATTTCAAGATAAAGATCGTGTGAAGTTCCATTTTTGTTTCAAATGTTCACAAAGTGAAAATTCCATTTTATATTTTCTTCTATTGTTATCGTTATGAGCGCTTTAAGTTGACCCATTTCCATTGCAGATCCATTTCCACCGATGCTGCCCATTCCGATGCCGCGCCACGTGATAATGCCGCCACGGGTCTCGTTGCCCGGCGTGGAGATGACGCTGCAAAACGACGAGCTCTGGAAGCAGTTCCATCAGATTGGCACGGAAATGATCATTACAAAGAGCGGCAGGTAAGGTGCCCGAACAAAATATACATTTTTTAACGCTCAACACGCTTAAAATGCAACTCCAATAAAATGTTTTCATACATTTTTGTTGAGTAAAAAATAAAAGCCGTACATGCCTTCAGAGTCGCGCCCAAAACAACTTTTGGAATGTAATGAAAGCGGCTTCTCGGTCGATGCATTAGCACGCATGTGAAAAACAATACCCGAAAAACGAAAAACGAAAATAAAATACGCCGGGCAAAGAAAAACAATGCGCATGCATTGGCAATGGCGTTGGCACTTAAAGCGTCGCCAGCGGCGAGCTGTTAGCTCTCATCAGTCAGCACTTAGCCTCAGCATCAGCCTCAGCTTCAGGCCTCGGGCGTCGGCCTCGTCTTCGTCTTCGTCAACATCGACGTCGACGGCGGCACTGTTAAATGCTCATTAGATGCAGGCGCCTGCGAAATTATTTACAGGGACGTCGCGACAACAATTTTCACAGGCAAACAAAGCGGCGGAAGGATGCAGGATGTGAAAGGAACTGGTGGACAGGTACAGATTGAAGTGCAATCAAGACTTGTTGGCATGCCCACTTCGAATATATATGTACATATATCTCGGGCGAGGCGTAAAACGAACAAGTTCAGTGCCACTTCGCGTGCGCTGCATTCCTTGCATGGTGGAACATCGAGCACGGAATATCAAAGCGCTAGCCCAATCGGCCATAGATACTGTATCTTGTAGCTGTATCTCCTGAGTAGTAGTAGTAAACTACCTAAAAGTGTCCGGCACTTGCTCAAATGTGCGTAAAGTGGCGTCATCGTAATTTATTGTAGGCCTAGTATGGACAGAGAGCTCAGTATGACGTCCTTTTGGTCGTGGTCGGCGTTCTTTAAGAGCGAGAGAATGAGATGCCTCATGGCTTGACCTGCTGATGCCGCTGATACTGCTGCTGCATGTGGCATAAATCTTAGCGTCAAGGATACTTTGTCGTCATCGCTGTTGCTCTCGGCGTTTTTATTGTGGCGCCTGTCTGCAGACAGCCTCAGCTACACTTGCCCTCGAATTTGTATTCGTATTCAATTTCGTATCTGTATCTGAGCGTTGTGCGCTGCTCTTTGCGCGTCGAAAATGACCACAGCTTGTCGACATTGTCGACAGATACGAGCAATTTCACACTTTTGCCGCCGAGATGCACAAGTGGCGATAAGATCACATACGAATTCGAGGCACAGGAAGACGCAGCCCGTTGAGAGGCTTCCACTGCATTAGTATAAACTTTTGGGACAGTTTCAGACAGTCAACTCTTTCTCCTTGGGCTTTCTTGTGTATATGCCATGCATTATTCATAATGTCTGCGTATTAAATAGTTTTTATGCTCATCAAAAATGTTTTATGTGAAATGCAGCCAGACGGACAGACAATGATGGCGACTCTGTAGCCCTTGTCCGTTCAATCGATTTGAATTTTTAATGATTAGGCGCCACAGTGCCACCGTGTTGTGTGCTGTCTGCTGCCTGTTGTTTGTGTGTGTCTTTGGATGCCCAACGCCAAGTGGCGCTCATAAAAACTAATTAGTTGCCTGTCTCAGCTGTCCCATGCCTTGGCCCAAGTCAAATGCTCAAAGATTGCATCGCTTTTCGGTTCGCACGGGTGGCAACTGCGCCGACGACCATAAGAGATAGAACAAAGCGTATCACATAGAGTAAAATGCATGAGTTTTTTCAAAATAAAATCACTCTGTCACGAAGCTTTTAGTGCGGCGACAAGCCAAAGCCTATGAGAATCGAGGAGAGTGGCCCAACGCAATCCAAACTAAATTAACTGAAATGCAATCTGCCGCACAGCGTAACACAGGTGAATCACTTCAAAGCGTCACTGCTGACACTTGGCCGGCTAACAGAGTCGAATGGGTAAGAAGGTTGTAACTCCTAGGAGGTAGCCTCACGAAAGAAGAAGAAAATGAAATGCAGGCTTCATGAGAATTAAAGCTGTGATCAAAATACAAACAGAATTACTTAAATTATAAAAAATTATAAAAATTGATTATATATTATTTATTATACATTTTTAATACAATGATTATTATTGTTGTAATTGTTCTGGGCTACAAAAATACTTTTATTATGCAAACTAAAATATAATCGATAAATACATAATCGATAAATATATAATCGATAAACATAAGATATGTCAGCAGGACTTCCTAGTTTTTCCATAAAATATTTTATCCAACAGAATTACTTAAATTATAAAAAATATAAAAATAGATTATATATTATTTATTATACATTTTTAATACAATGATTGGTTCAAAATTATATCAAACTAAAATATAAATACTTATAAGTACATAATCGATAAATACATAATCGATAAATATATAATCGATAAACATAAGGGATGTCAGCAGGACTTCCTAGTTTTTCCATAAAATATTTTATCCAACTGATTTTTCCTTCCTTTCGGCCACTGTCTTTAAAGCTCATTAAAGCTCGAGGGTAAATTAAGATTTTTGCCAAATTTAAAAATAATTTTGATAGAACTTTTAGATAATTTAAAGTTCTTTTGTAGCCTTAACTATATATATATATATATATATATATATATATATATATATATATATATATATATATATAAATACTTATATATATATATATATATATATATATATATATATATATATATATATATATATATATATATCTATATATATTCTTGATCGAAATCATTAGGCAATTAAGCAGCTAGCTTATAACATGGTATCAAACTCAAGGCCTTTAGATAGCTAGATATTATCAAATTCTGAATCTGAATCAGCATACTCGATTTTCACCTGAATAGTTTCAACTGCACCTGTTTGACTGCCCCTAAAAACACGCTGAAATGCTAAAGATTTGTGTTCCGTTTTTTATTTGTTTGCTGATCTACCAAAATGCCTGAATTTGTTAATTATGCGAAGACGCGCCAAAGATCAATATCTTAACAAATCGTTTGTCAAAATGCACGAGAAATTCTTCGACAACAACAAGCGGAGCACAGAGCACGAAAGCAAAAACAAAATTTAACAAAAAATGGGCAAATTGAAAATGAAATTCTAAACCGCACGAATGTCGAAATATTTGGCCATGCGTCGCCGTTGCCTCTGCTGCGCTCTAATGAAATTCAAGAAAAACAAAAAGTAAACAGAAAAGGAATCAAATTAAATGTAGGCAAACGCAACGCAGTCGAGTTAAATTAATTAATCATCGCGCAGAGCACAGACAAAAAAACCAAAAGCAACAATAAAACCTAAAAGGCATTAAAAATACAAAATCATTGCCAAAAAGCAAAAACAACAACAACAACAACAACAACCGCGCAGAGACTCTAAACAACCAAACGAGCCTTTTGAGGCTGGCGCCAAGCGCAGTGACCACCTGCTGCGCCTCTGTGGCAGGGTCGGGGCTGCGCGAACTGCGATCCTTGTTAGCACAGCGCACACAGCCGACGATATAGACGATATCTGGGTCTTTATTTGTTCTCTTCGGGTTTCCTTTCTGTGCGTTTGCCTAGGCTAATTACATGGGCCACGAGCAGCTCACAATTAAATATTTGCCACGCCCCCAAAGGATACCTCAATTCGATTTCATTTCGACTTTTCTTGTTGACTTTATTTGAAACTCTGGCCCTGGCCCTCCTTTGATTGCAGACGCATGTTTCCCTCGATGCGCCTGAGCGTTTCGGGCCTGGAGGATGAGACCAACTACTGCATCCTGCTCGAAATGGTGCCCATTGGCGACTGCCGCTACAAGTTCTCCGGCTCCCAATGGGTGCCAGCTGGCGGTGCCGAGCCACAGAGTCCGCAGCGCATGTACCTCCATCCGGACAGCCCGGCCACTGGCGCCCATTGGCAGGCACAGCCCATACTCTTCAACAAGGTGAAGCTGACGAACAACACGCTGGACAATAGCGGTCATGTAAGTTTCTAGCAGAGAGTGCAGTGCGAAGTGTTGCCAATGTAATGTCCTTTACTCTCCCACTCAAGCAGATCGTGCTTGCCAGCATGCACAAGTATCAGCCGCGTTTGCATGTCATACGGACCGCAGATCTGGCGCAGATTCCGTGGGCGCCGCAGCAGGCTTTTGTATTTGGCGAGACAGAGTTTGTGGCCGTGACAGCGTACCAGGTAAGTCAAAAAAACACACACACAGAGAGAGAGAGAGAGTTAGAGAGATCAGATTTTGCCAATTCATTGAGCTGGGCACACTAATTGGTTAATTTCGGCAACGATCGCTCACGCCGTGGGTAGCCTGACCAACGTCTCAAATTAGCATGCAACGCCCATTGTCTACAAATGCCACAAGTGCAGGGCAGAAGTCACGTTGCCTTGGCTTGTTATTTTAGGAAGTTGGATAGCCACATCCTTCTGACTCTCGCTGTGTTTTTGTCTATGTCTGGGCCCATTCACAGCGCCGGCAGGTCGCCAGTCCTCGGCTGTCAGTCGTCAGTCTTCAGTCTGGGCTCTAATTAGCGTGATCACTTCCACAAGATCATCTTCACATAGTTGTCAAGTCATGACGCCAAGGCTCAAGTATACGACTCCCTGGCAGCGGTGTCAAGTGGCCCTGTTACTTAACGCCAGCTACTGGCCGTTGCTTAACAGATTGTGTGATAGCGACTGCGTCGACGTCTGCGTCTGCGTCTGCGTCTGCTTATGCGACTGGCAATTGTCATATTTCATGCAATTTACAACAGTAGTGCAACCGCTGCAACATTGACTATTTATCCTTTTGCCTCTTTTCATAGAATGATCGCATCACGAAACTTAAGATCGACAACAATCCATTTGCCAAGGGCTTCCGCGAAACGGGACAATCGCGCTGCAAACGCAAAATGTCTTCATCGCCAACCGATGATGATCAAGATTTGCCTCAGACCCATTTGCAGTCCTCTGGCTCGCTTGACATGTCGCCAGGCAAATCCACGACGACAGCAGCAGCGGCAGCTACAGCCGAGGCAGCATCCACATCGAACAACAGCGACCAGGATGGGCCGCAAATTAAGCGCCTGAGATCAAATGGTTCCGCCTGTTCGTTATCGTCATCGCTCGATGGCGCTGAGCCAGTTGCTGGGCCTGGCGCCAGCTCCTTGGGTTCGCCCCCTGGCGGCGCCGGCGCCACCGCCACAACCTCGTTCATGCAACATTTTCAGCAGAACATGCAGACGCTATTGCGACCCTCGCTGGTCGATCTGGCCTGCACCTACTTCGGTCGCCCCGCACATGAATACAATGGCACGACGCCGGCGTCGCATTTGTATCCGCCAACGTCCATTTTGCAAGCCGCATTGCCAGCACTTCCGGCCCTCGCCTTGCCACACAGCATTTCCGTTCAGCACACAGACGACTCCACAACGGACGACGCAGAGCTAGATGTTGGCTGCGAATCAACAATGAGAACAGCAACAGCAACAACAACACGTTCATCGCTGGAGCTGCACCAACATCCGCCACCCGAGGCACCCGCCAAGCGAAAAGGTTTCAGCATATCTGCCATACTGGGCGGCGGTAGCTAGTTGCCACAGCCGCAACATCAGTCTCCAGCTAATGCCTTTGATATTATATAATGTACAAATCTAAGCTGTACTTCGCCTGATTAATCCATAAGCTAATGTTAAGTTTGCAAAATAAATATTTCTATAGCCTCAACTAAAATTTGTTTGTCCTAAATAAACTGACTGAACTCATTCGAAATGAAAACGTAAGTAACTAGGCTAAGCTCATGCTGCCATCGGCTTCAATATTTGAAATATTTACTGTTATATCAATGGGCAAGGGGAGGGAGCCAAGGAAAATTTTACATTTAAAATCATTTTTAAGTTATGAAAGGTGCTAAAATTTAGGACGCTAAGATTATATGAGTCACATGACAGGAGGCGTTATAACTGGGATAAATAGATTTTGATATTATTTTGAATCAAATCAAACGAGTGCAATACATAAAAAATTTGGATAATGAAAAAATATAATAAAAATTAAACTATGGGCGTCATCTTATATTTGAATTTTTATTATATTTTTTTCATTATCCAAATTTTTATGTAAGAAAAAATAAATAGTTTTATAATTTATAATTTAATAAAAGAAATAAGAAGTTCAATTTGACAACAAAAGTGGACGAGTGGAAGCAACGTCTTGACGTCGGCTTGACTTATAGCTAGATATCAATTTTCAAATATGTATTTTTTGTTAAATATATATATGTATATATGCTTTAGTCAGAATTAATATAACACTACACAGCTAGGCGCCTCTTCGATTAACTTACCAATTTATTCAGCTCCCAAATATTTAGGAGAGACAGCCTAAATACCTTTGGCTAATTGGCAGATCTAAAGGATACTTCATAGCCAGCACGCCCATGCACTTTGCTGTAGGTAAATGAATATGTTGTTGGTCAGTTGGGATTTTATCTTTGGTGCAGCATCTAGCAGCAGCCAGTAGACGCAACTCAAATCACAACTTCCGCTTAACATTAATCCCAACCAATTTACAAGATAAACGCTAGAATTTCAACAACATCATCAGCCGACGAAGATGACGCCGGTGGTGCAGCATCCATTAGCTGCACTGCAGCAGCGAGTGGCCAGAACATAATTTGTTTGCAATTAAATAGCTCGACAAGGCATGAAATTCGGTTGCAGCCCAGCAAGAATACTCTGGAGACTCATAGTGGTTAAAGATGTTTATGAAATGGGCAGAGACTGAGACTAAGAGCGGCGGCGGCAACAGCAGCCAAGAAACAACAAAAAACAAGAGAAACAAGAGAAACATACACATTTCGTTATGTAAGCTGCTGTTGCTTGTTGTTGTTGTGTTTCCCTAGTTTATTTCGATGGCCAATGATGAAGTTTACGATGACATGCGTCACCACCCACGTCTGAAGTCGAAAGAGGACGTCGAGAGAGGCGTGTGCAGCCGTAGTCTCCGACCAAAGTACGACTAGCAAAAAAGAGAAGAAAATATAGAAAAAACAAACAATTTCAATTTACCAGCAAATCGATTTCTAAATTCTACTCACCAGGGAGCAGCAAACTGCGGTTTTATAGCGCACAGAACGGGTGACAGATGTCGTTCTGGCTGCGTTGACAGGCGCAAGGTTGTAAGTGCATTGAATGCCTCATTAAATAGCTAGAACTGCGGCTGCGACTGCGACTGCAACTGCGTCTGCGTCTACGCCGGCGTCTGGCAGATGTCGCAGGTTGTGCGGCGTGTGCGTAATTAATGCATTTGGCTGTTGTATTTTACGGCTCAACATTTGTTGTTGCTTTTTGTGTGCCCCATGAAATTAGATACATTGTGTCTCTGCAACCAATTGCTGTTGTGTAAACACAAAATGGGGAGCCACCCGAACAATAACGAAACCATTACCATTACCAATTCCTAAACGAAAGTTAATTGCTTGAGTGCTAGCAAACAAAAACAAGTGCTAATGTGAAAGAAAACAGTTTTACGCGTGGCAGCAGTCATTTGAAGAAAACAACTGACTATCAAATCAAACGGAACGCAAGTAGTGCAAGCGGGACAGTTTTGCACTGCTTGGTAAAAAGATGCCGTTTCAGTTTCACACACTATTCAAATTAGGAGAGACAAGGAAAGAGTTGGGAAAAAGGGTTACCATATCAGTTTTTGGTATTTGATTCGCAAAACATATGCATTGGCTGGCTATGTTAATCCCTCGCCGAAAATAAACATATTTTGTAGGCTAGAAGAATGTAACAAAGGTCGGCAGGGAGATGGCTCAGCGTTGTGTGTCGCCGGTGCCAAGCCATAAAAATAAAACCTCTCATAATCTATGTATGTACATATATCTTTTCCTTCGTCTTTCTCAAGCGTAGTCCTAATCCGTGGTTTTAAACTAGAGCGGAGCCAAACCCACTCAGAATCCTACAGAGCAGTTTATGCAAATGGGCTCACATATGGGCCGAGTCCCAGGCCGCGTCCGTGTCCGGGGATGGGACAATTAACAAAGAGTGTAATTTTTCGATCGTAGCGTGTGAACAATGGCACAAACAATTACCGGATAATAAAAATCCACCCACACATATGCAGGAAAACGGATTGCTTGACCGATTCGACCTCTGTTTCATTTTGCAATTCTATGAGAACAACTCAAAGTAGCAAAACCAACAATGACCGCTGTCAAGTGCGTGCGCTGCTCTCCGTTGTTGGGCACATTGTCCGTGCCCTTTGTCTACAAGGCTATTGATTGCAAACTATTGAAGTATTTAAGTTCTCTGCCTAATTTGCATATTATTGTTTTGTCCAAACACTGCTACCTGACAAGAGCGTCTTTAAACTAACCACATAAGAGATCGCCAGCTATTGATTTATCGATAATGCTTTTTCATCATTTAATCGATAAGTAACATAAAATTGCAGTTCTTAACAACCATCACAGCAAATAGTTTTCTTTGCTCTTTAAGTTAATATCTCTCTTATTTGAATGTGGTAACTTTTTTAATTCACTAAACTTATTAAAATTATGCCCAAAAACTATTTTTCTAATTGCCTTTCTCTTTTCCAACTATCGAAAGTTAACAGCCCTGTCCTAAGCTTAATCAATTATTAAACTAACTTAGACGCAGTCACGCTCCCATCTCTATGCCAAGCTGCATTTAATTACGAACTAATTGGTTTCAAAAAAAGAAAACAAAATGAATCTAGGCAACAATCATACTGAAGCATATCGCGTAGAAATAGACGATGATAATGAATCCTTTCACTCCTTCACACAGAGCGATGGCGATTCCCCCGACTTGGGATCTTTTACCGACATAGATGATGACTCCATAAGAGACGCACCTAATTTGGAGTTCGAAAATATCGCTATTAAGAATGTGAGTATACATACACATATTTATCTTCGTTGTAGGAAAAATTTGGATTTTTTAAATTTGCATCATTCAGCTGAAGCTAAGCTCGGATTCTAAGCCAGCTGACTGCAGCTTAGATGAATCCGCGTCTTTTGTAAATCCGAATCAATATCAGACGCCCAAATTGCTGCCGTTGCGGAATCCCTTGCAAAAATGTCATCACTTGGTGCCTCCGTTAAAAAACAATTGTCAGATGCCGGATATGGAGCTCTTTAACATGAATCTAACGCCTGCAACCAAGAACGATCCAATCAATAGCAGTGTTGGCACGGAAGCATTGCAAAAGTATGCCTTTACCGAAATTTGGGTTGAAGAACAACAAAATATCCCGGGAAAAAGACGTTCACTGCACCGCGAATTCACAGCCGCATTGGAAGATTATTTTCATGACAAAAATACCGATAGATTTAAAAGTATGACGGAAGAAGAGCAGCAAAAGGACCAGCTGAAGCTGAAGCCAAACCAAGTAAATAAAGTCAATTCCTTTTCGTATATAATCTAAGTTATCCTTTTATAGAGAAATACCGCTCCATCAGCTAACTTTCAAGCGACTTCCGAAAGCATCCCGTACGTCTCCCCCTTTGAGGACATGCCCGAATTTCCTGATGAGAAGATCTTGCCTGGCCTTGCATCGTATATCACTGTGCCAGCTGGTTACGATTTGTCTAACCTGGTGGAGTACAAGGATCCCAATCATTGGCATCGGCGCTCCAGCACTTTAAACGATTATCATCCATAACTATTACATTTAAGTGCAAGCAGGAAATTGCATATTAAAAAATAAGACACATTGAAGTGCACTTAATATTCATTTATTTCGGATTCTTAAGATAATGCAACACGTTATAGTTTTTGCCACGAAATGTGTATTATATTCAAAGAGACATCAACAAAGCCAATAAAAATATCTTCTGTAATACTAGAGGCGACGCAGTAAAGTTAGTTTATCTGTTACTATAAAAAATGCACATAGTTCTCGAGATTTTTAGCTCACAATGATTATAAATCATTCATAGCTGCAATGGGAACGATTGGTATTGAATCAAGTTCTTGTATGAAAAAACTTTTGTAGTATTACATTAATCCAAATTTATAATGAATATTATTGCTTTTTAAGAAAATCATCAGCTTTTGTCCAAGATTATAATTCGCCCTTGAATTCAGAATATAAATTGAAACTTTCAGTCAAATAAGAAGGAATCATGAGCATCCAGTGTGTCTGGCATTCCTTAAGTGCTTACGCATCGTGTAGCAATTGGAGGCACGAACATGTCGCATTGGGATGATTGAAGCCGGCGCCCAACTCTACTCCAAATGATTTCATTGCGATGCCGATAAAATTGTCGCCAGCGAAATGTCCATGACTTTGATTTTGACCGCCGTAACATTAATTTCCAACGAAATTACACATACACGACAGAAAGAGAGAGCGAGAGCGAGGGGGAGAGAAAGAGAGAAAAATACACAATAACAAACAATAAGAGCTGGAGCATGCAGCAAACACAAGGCCTGGGATAAAAAGTTTGCTTATCTACCGCTGCAGAGCCGGGACCTGGCTCGGGACCTGCAGTGGAGCTCATTTGCCTTTGACATGCGAACGTTTTTGAACCTGCGCCTAGCTCTTCTTGTCTCTGGTTTGTGGCACTCGGATGCCGTGGCTCCCAAATGAGAATTCAATAAATTTTAGCAAATAGCCCCGAGCAAGTCAGAAACTGCGGCAACAACAACACAATAGCCATTTGGCGTCGTTAGTCTTTTTGGCGACGTTTAACATGAATATGCAGTGTGGCTAATGTGGAGCCCATAAACACTTCCAGCGGCAACATGAATGGAACTGCAGCCCCACAGCCGACAAGCAACAGATGTCCCCACTGAGAGGAGAAAAAAGAAACCAAACAGGTTGTTACTACGTGTGCGGTGGTTAGCTGGAGCAGAAAGTTGGGGAATCAGCCGCTTAACAATTGTTTGTTAACGCGATTTGAAATGAAATGAAATGCCACCGTCGAAGATTTGCAATTTGGGCAATAGCCGTGTCTCGCTCGCTCCGGCTACCGGTTATCGGTTATCGGTTTGGCCAGCTCTGTTGGGCACTCAAAGACGCCGCCGCATTTCCGTTGGCCAGCGCAACAAGTTGCATGTGTGAGGCAACGACTCGAACAATTTTGCATGTAAATGGCAAACAACTACAACGTGAAAACATCAATTACATTTGCTCTTACCTTGCGGCCAACTGCCAACTGCTCGCCAGGATTACCTGCCGATCGTCGCGCTCAATCAGCGCGCTGGCACTGGCGCTGGCGCCAGCATTTAAGATGCGGCTCTCTCTGATCTGCTGATAAGCTCATGTCGTCGGCGTTGTAGTTGTGCTTCTTCTTATGCTGTTGCTGGCTCAGTAGAACTATACGAACAGGGAGAGCGAACTGTGCAACTCTCTGCGAACCAGTGTGAGCTTGCGGAGCTGGAACTGGTTTTCAAAGCCAACACGCGAAAGATAGAAGACGCAATTATGTATACAAAAGCAAAGAGTGAACAAAATGGAAGCACAGAAAATAATTTCAAAATATATAAAGGAAAGAACAAGAATTAGTAACAATTCATATGCAAGGTCAAGACAGATAATGGGACACCAGATAAAAGTGATTCAATTAAAGAGGCGGCACACTGAATCTTAAATACTCTGCCAAACGTTGAGCAATTGTAATGGATTGTAACTCTGTACGATATTTCGAAACGCTGTTAAACAAATTTTGTTCTAATGTTGAAAAAGAAAATCTTGTAACAATAGTAAAAAATATTTGCTTAATTTTGCATAGATATTTTTAGCTGTGTGATCTGAGTAAAACTGAAAGGGGCTCACACGGACATGGTTCTATTTATTTGAATTCAGCAAGAATATATATTGTCTTAAAGCCTACTATAGGATATATAGGCATCAATATAAATTATTATAATTAGTAATATTATTGTCAAGATTTTAGTGGCACAATGACATATATAAAAACAGATCTAACGAGTCGAACTAAAATGCTCTACTTCCACTTGTTGAGCTTCGATTTTTCTTTCATGTTCTGCCCTCGTATCGATGGGCGCATGGCGATGGCCCTTTAATGCTTCAATAAGAAAAGCCTTTTTTGAAATTCTTATAAAAAATCTTTATTTGCTCGCATTAAAATGCCAAAGACAATAAATCCATTACGAAATCATTTAAACAATTAAAATTGCATAATAAATACTTAGGATAAATACTGATGGCAAATACCTGGAAATCTTAATTAACTGCAAAATATCACAATACAACCTACAGACTACGCAACTAAACGCTAATTAAATGTATAAGGCACCTAGGAGCAACAACTAAGCCGCTGAACAACTGAAATGGGAGCAACAGCAACTTCAGCTCCACAGCACAGTGCAGCACAACAGCTAAGACGAGACGCTCACTCCTAATATGTCCAAGATGCTGAAGCTGCTCCGTTTGGGCTTTGGCACCGCAGCAGCAGCAGCAGCGGCGGCGGCGGCGGCAACGGCAGCGTTGGCCATACCAGCGATACGGCTAATCGATTCGGATTCCAGGTCGGGCTCAGGTGCGCTTGTCGTGGTGCCCACTACGTCCACAAAGGTATCGGTCTCTGTCTCTGGCTCGGCGGCCGAATCGCAACCAGACGAGGAGGAGGAGGAGGCACACGACGAATCAGGCGATGGTGAATAGGCCCAACTTGGATAGCTGGCGATGTGTCTGGCATAATCAATGCATGGCAGGGGCGGCGGTGGCGCTGACAGATAGAAATTGGCCTCCAGAGTGTCCAGCAGATAATGGCGCGGCACTAGCAGCCCACTTGCTGTTGCTTGCTGTTGGGGCAGCAGGGACAGCTCTTCGGTAAGACGCAAGCGTTTAGCCGACGGCGAGACGGTGAGCTCCATATCGTTAACAGCTCCCGCTACGTCTGCATGCGCAGGCGCAGAGGAATCGTTAAGCTTGCGCTTGCAACGTGATTGGCCCGTCTCCCGGAAGCCCTTAGCAAAGGGATTGTTGTCGATTTTGAGCTTTGTAATGCGGTCGTTCTGTAAGCGAGAAGCGGACTATTAGTAATTGATCAATTGCTTGATAGGAGCTTAAGACCACACACCTGATACGCTGTCACAGCTATAAACTCCGTTTCGGGGAAGACGTAGGCCTGCTGTGGGGCCCAGGGTATTTGGGTCAGATCGGATGTACGAATCACATGCAATCGTGGCTGATACTTGTGCATGCTGGCCAAGACAATCTGTAGGCAGATAAGAAAATATTTTGCGATAAGTGACTGTGGAGTGATTAAATGCAAAGACTACACCTACATGTCCATTGTTGTCCAGCGTGTTGTTGGTTAGCTTGACTTTGCTGAATAGCAAGGCCTGCGATTGCCAATGCTTGCCAGTTGCGGGGCTATCCGGATGCAGAAACATGCGCTGCGGACTCTGTGGCTCGGCACCGCCAGCTGGCACCCATTGGGAGCCGGAGAACTTGTAGCGACAGTCCCCGATGGGCACCATTTCCAGCAGCACGCAATAGTTGGCCTCCTCCTCCAGCCCGCTCAGCGAGACGCGCATCGAGGGAAACATACGTCTGGATAAAGTGAAGCAATAATAATGGCGGTTACTGACATGCTATGTGATCTCATTTTAAAGCTTATCTCGCTGCTCTGCATGCCAGAGTTGTGAGTATGCGATAAGCGGGCGCAAAGATACGCTAGGTAAATGATAACTAAGCATACCTTCCACTCTTCGTGATGATCATTTCGGTGCCAATGTGATGGAATTGCTGCCAGAGTTCGTTGTTCTCAAGCTTGGCTTCTACGCCTGGCAGCGAAGGCTGCGCCATTGTTGGTGCCACGAAATGTGTCCCGAAATTGGGCAACAGGCCGCACAGTGGATCTGCAAGAGAGAAGATGTTACAGCCGTCGGCAAGGCACGCATATCACTCAAAACCTTACCTGGCAGGCGTTGCATAATTTGCTGGCGATAAAGCTCATGCGCAATCTGCTGCTGCATGCGCATGTCTGCAATGTTTGGCAATGCCAACATAGTTTTAATTTCAACCACAATATTTGACACTTAATAATATTTATGTCAAGTCTATTGATCACTGTGATCGCCTTTTTCTATTATTCAATTCGAAATCTCGATAAAATGCGTTTCTTTTCGCTCACTAACGAACTGCTCTCCACGCCGTTCAGATTGAAACTGTTGCGCTCTGAAAATTGTGCGCTCGAAACTCAATTCCAACAGAATCCAGTCAGTTCACTTTTCAGTCTCCGTCGTCGTATCAGGTAGCTGCACGACCTGCTTCTCCGCTCATTCCACTTCCAGTTTGTGCTCTTCCAGCTACAGAGCTCTCATTGGTCGCTGCTTGACGCACAGCATGCTATCTCGCTCCGGCTTATGGTTGCGCCATTTTGAGCACGTTTTCCCTTGCCGGAGCTAAATGATGGGCGCCCATATTGCTGTTGATAGCATTGATTGCACTGGGGGAATCTCTTTGAACTATACATTTGGTTATTAACGGTAATGAAAATGGAAATCTTTTACATTTGGTCCACAATATAATAGCCTATTAGCCTAAAATAGCTTATAGTGAAAATGGTAATATAGATTTTCTTCGAAATAGGTAAAACTTTTTATTAAAATGGAGTATGCTTAAAATTGGGCCGAAAGGCATATTCATTCCTTCTCTGGTTTTATACAACTTTTTACAACTTTAGTTTTGTTCTTTTTTTTCGACACAGGAAATTCATCGATATGGACAGAACGACTATATACGGTAAGCTAACATAGAATTGATCAAGGAACAATGTTCCTAATTTAGAAAATCCATATTATTAAGATTTTGAGTAAGCTTCAAACTTTTAAGTTTTGCATATGACAAATATTGTATCAATACCTGCTACAACCTCATTTAAATATAGTCTGAAGTAAGTTTCCCTTCCAAGCGGCTGCATCTAAGAGGACTTCAAATTTTTTTTATTAATATTTCTTAAGGTCTACACATTTTTAGATCATATCATTGACAAAAAACACAAGTTTAAGTGTTTATTTTGGATTCGAGTTTTACATTTGTAGATTTCGACTTTCTCTCAAATTGACTATCGAATGATCAGCTCCCATCTGGCTGAAGAGGATATATGTTAGTATGTGAGCCTTATCCTGGATCAGCATACAAGATACCGCTTGTCTCTCGCTACCGTTCAGAGCAACCAAAGAGAGATGCGCCTGCCGATAAGTTGCCGTAATCAAATGTTAAACGGTACTTGTGTAGCTAAATGGGCGCGACAATTTGTTGAGGAACATCAAACTGGCGCCAGGGCCAAGCGACGGCCGCCACGTCCACTTAACTGGCAGTCGCAGTCACCTTTTGCTGTGCGCATTGCCACTTGTCCTGGGAACAGTAGGATGACAAAAATGACGGCGACGGCGTCATTGTCGGCATCAACTCACAGGCAAGTCATAAAAATGATCACACTTTGTGCAAAGGGATGCTGCTTCAATGCTGTTGTTGCTGCTGCTGCTGCTGCTGCCAACAAAGGGCACAAAAGATGCGCACTTTATGACCCAACGATGAGCGACAGCTAACAACCGACCGCCGACTGTTTCCGACTGTCTATCGGGCATTTTGGATATTATTGTTATGATTATTGTATGTTTGTGGGTCGGCTGTACAATTTATTTTTATTGTCTAGACTCTAAAAAGAGACTGGCCGACAAAAAACCGCAACGGTCGATAGTTTGAGCACGAACCGGAACACCTGAAGTCCTGTTCGATATCGAAATGTCTCATAATATGCATAAAATAGGTGACTCTAAATGGAAACCGAAACTCTTTCTTATCCAGCAACGAAATCCACAGTCCAAGTCATTAGTCAGCTGAATTTCCGGTAATTTGACTAGCTTTGCAGAAGCCAGGCTCAACATTTCCGCACTAAGTGCACTTCCTATCTGCTCTGACTCAGGCAATTAGTGTTCCTGTACAGTAGTCACATGCCAGACGGATTTGCGTCATTAGCGCTTGTCTCGCAACGAATTCGTCCTCGGCTCTGGCTCTTTTCATTGCCTGCTCCCGGAAAAACCCAGGGAAATTTGAGCATTCATTCACTAATTGCTGCCTCTTGGCTTTCAATTTACTATATTTTGTTTCGCAATACGCTTAGGGCGCTAGATAAACATCAGGTCGAAGCTTACGTTTTGCACATGAATCAGACATTTAGATTTATTGTTGTTGTTGCTTTGGATTTTGGTTTTCAATGTTTTACATATAACTTATACAATATGCGAATTCATCACACTCAAGCCACGTATAATACAGTATAACTTTTAATTCTTATAATTTATGTTTAGCTATATTATTTATATTTTTCATGTTGTTAATTCAGTTTCGTATTCTGTTATTTTGTGTATTTGTCGTTAGTTTCCTATAATTTGTTTATCACAGCTATACGTTTAAAAATATACATATACAGATATATATTTTTATAATTGAATTGCTTTTTTGTATTTTTTTTTCGTTTTTGAAAAAAATGTTTTATAAAATACCAACATACATCCAAGCACACACAGATATACACATACATATACACAATTGCAAGAAACTTACAAGTATAAAAAATTCAACATGAAAAATGTTGATAAAAATATAAAAAGTAGGCGCTATTGATTAGAATACATATTTAACAACATTTCAGCAAGAATCACGGACCGCTAACAATGAAAAGAAAATATATAATAGATAACACCAAAAGCTCAATACACAACTGATATGTAGCTCCAACTCCAGCGAGCATCTTTAAGACAGCTCGAAACCTGTGTTGCTGCTGACGGCATAGCGCAGTTTGTCTCGCAGCGTTGACTTCTTCTGATAGTTGGGCAGCTTTAGCAGATTGAAGCACGTGGATGAAGTGGGCAACCTATTGAGCGGATCCTTTTTACGTATAGTAAAGAAGCCGCGTATAACGCTTCCAATGGTATCTCCTGTGTCCTCATCATCGCCCACCTCAACGCAACGTATGGAAAAGGGCGGCTCAAGGTGCGCAAAGCCCAACAGTGGAGGTTTGGAGCAACTGGTAACGAACTATAAATATGCTTATTAATAAAGAATTCAAAGTTAAATATTCTTCAAGGTACCTTAAGAAATAGTTTGCGCTCATCCTCCGTAAAATCTTTGGCCAATATATCCCAGAGCCAGCCGACAACGCGATGGGAGTCATGAAATCCTCCATAATACTGCGTATGCTTACGCAAATCTTTCAAATCTAATGGTACCGTATCACCCGATATAAGACGCTGCAATTCCGGAGGAGAAAATAACGATAACCACTCGGGATTGACAATGCTGCGAAAGCCGCGATTGAATGCCTGCGTCTGTTCCCGTATTTGGGTGTTCATATGGAAATAGGCCATGTAGTGTATGTAGACCAGCTTGTTGTGATCGTTGACAACACGTGCTTTGCCACCTGGATGCAGTTCATGTGTAACTATCTTCCCCATGACATCCTGATCCACGGAGAAAGTCAAGTTTAAATCGGCCACATCTTGTTTATAGTGCTTGATAAACGTAAGGCTACGATATAGTTCGTTGTCGAGCGAGGGCAGCTCATCCATGCAAGAGTAGAGGGCTTGCTGTGTTTGGCCCAGTAGCTGGGAAAGAAAGAAAGAAGCAAATGGCACATCCACGACAATGCCCTCGTAAACAGCCTTGCCAAGCATTCGTCCCACAAATTCAAATAGCTGCAAATGATTGTCTTGCACATAAGAAATAGGCGATGGATATAGCCGCTGATCTGATGTGGTTTTGAAGAGATTCAGCGATGGATCAAATACTTTTTTTATGGTCTCCTCCAGGAATTCCTTGAACACGCCATCCTGATCAATGCCCGCCTCGTGCAATCCCTGCTGATTGATAAAACGTACTCGAATCACTCCTTTCAGTGCATGTGTCGGCTGCGCGGCCAACTGTCGATAGCCATCCTCAACAATCCGTTCCCGATGTATGACAATCAGCGCTGATCGCGGAGAAGCACACGCACTCTCTGTCAGTCCCATCACAGCTTTCTCGTTTTGTACGAACTTTCTGAACAGCTTGACCCGGTCTTCGTGTGGGATGATGTGTGGCATTTTCGCCAGCAAAAGCATTGCGTTACGCTTAGCCTTCTCCAGATCATTAATAAAAGTAGATGGCTTGATCTCCGGTATAAGCCAGTGATTGGCGGGGGTGAAAGGACGTCGACAGTCACGACGATATAAGCAAAGCAACAGCGTATGAAGCGAAACAAATACAGGATTGTTTACAACATTTTTAGCGCCTATTAAAAAAAATACAAATCATTAGAGAAACATTTTTAAAGTGATTTCTGTACCCATACCCATAATATTATCATTGATCAGCTTGTATAATATATTATTGAGAAAATAGGTTAGCATTACGTAGTCGTTAAGACGAAAGGGATTCTGCTCGGTATACATTTCATACTCGTCCAGAATGCTGTTGAAAATATTTCGAATTAATAATAGTTATCATATGAAGCATATTTTTTAGAATCGTCAATAGAACTCACGTCACATAGTGGGTCATGCAGTCACAGAAGAGCATAAGCATGGCTATTTGTGGCTTTTGTACCAATGTGTCGCATCTCAACAAGTCCAGATATTCCTTCATGCCGCAGTTGGGTCCCAGCGAGGTCAGTAGCAACCAAATGTCATATAACACATTGTCATTATAGCATATGCCCGTCAGAATGTCCAGCTTCATTTGGGAGAGCGTGCTTAAGGCAGCATAATACATGGCACAAATACGTGAAACCTGAACAACATCGCAATTGTCCAGCTTACGCCATTGTATCTTTGGTTGTTTGCCAGCAGCTGTTGCCAACAAGCCACTGCCACGTGTGGAACTGCGTTCGAGAGCGCGACGCAATAAATTGCTTGTTGAGGGCTGCTGCGGTGAGTGAAACTCGATGCGTTCATAGTTTTCGTTAATTCCCTTTAACAAATCACCAAGCAGCAACTTAATGCATCGATGATCCCACAGCATGTGAAACTGTTTCTTGATTAGTCCAACATTCTGATTTTGTGCCGGCTCCGCACATGGTGTGTGCCAGCCAAGCAGCTCGTGCCACTGCGTGAAAACACCTTTGGTGGTCACTGTATTGGGTATTAGCTCCAGCAAAGATGTGGTGGTTTCCTACAATAATGATACAAATATTATAGCAAAATAAACATACTCAATTGTATTCATGTGTACTCACAGTTAGCAACGGATAGGCCAATTTTTTAGCTTCAGCCAAATTTTCTATATTAAACATATTTACAATGTTGCCCAAATAAGCAAGCGATTTTGTTCCTGACATGCTCGCAGCGAACTCCTCGAACCACTGCAAATCCTCCGATATGCTAACAGCACGCTTCAGCAACGACATCGAGCTGAACTGCTCAATGCACTGCGGAACGCTCTGATGCAAATGATAAATTAGCGCCGGCACTGAAAGTATTTCGCTTAGAAACTGTGAAAGCAAGTTGCGACTAAAATCGCCATCGATTAAGGGTCGCAGACACAGTGTGATTATGGCAACAAGCGTCACCGGCTTCACGGACAATTCTTCGCGTGCGGTTCCTTTAAGCAGTATTACCTGTAAATACGGAAATTGCAACAAATTTTTATATTTATAATTTACATACAACAAACTATAGTTGAAATACTTACCCGCATGGTCTTGTAGAATCCGTGATGAACCAGATGCCCCTGAATGTTGCAACAGATCTTCTGCATAGCTGGCTGCAGTCGCTCAAATTGGGCATTACGCAATATAGCCCAAGACTTAGGAGCGGTGAACACAATAAGAGTGTGTAAAAAGAGAGCAAGCGATATGCTATCAGCATGGTTCTCTGGCTTAAGTTCTGGCAACAACTGCATGCAATTGGTTAACAGCAGTTTTATGTGTCCTATCCAGGGCAAACTGCGATCCTTGTGCAAACATAATGCCGCATAGGACATCTTTGGATTGTCGGCTTCCATTGCGCGATTCACATAGCGACAAATGCGCTCCAGGCGATCTCGCATATGTCCATCATTTTTAGCTAATTTTATTTGTGTTAGATAGCGACGCAGCACAGGATACACATGAACGGCGGGCTGCAGCTCTGTATCCTTTTCATCCTGTTCGCCCTCATGACTGCTCATAAAGAGTAAGTCGAAGTCGTTGCTGTGATGGTAAGAATGTACTTAGCTTTAGAATATGTACATGTAAATAAGTAGTTGATCTTACATTATGCATTTCTGATATTTGCTGCGGGCAACAAATCCTTTTAGAGTTGCTTGTAACAAAATTGCAGCTTCTTCCCGGCGCTTCTCAAGGGCCCGCTCCTCCCGCGCAGCCTTTGTATGCTCCAAAAAGTTGTTTTTATGTGATTCCGTTTGTGCAAACATTTTGTATACAAGTGTGTTATGTAGTTTTTGTTGTTTTTCTCTAGATAGGTGCAGCTAATTTGTTGTTTTCCTTATTGTATTGTGTTTTCGATGGGTTATATTGCGCAGCAATTCCACAATTCGCAATGTAATCTGCTTATTTTAATGTGCATTGCATTTTCAGCTTGCAGTAGCACTCGATTTTCCAATAACTATTTTTCATTTTCCTTTACCACTGCTTGTATATTCTATATGAACAAGTTTGGATGAACGAATATTGTAAAAGAGTGGCAGCACTATATCAGTGTAAATATCGATGAATTAAACATCGATGACTTAGTGTAATTGGTTCATAATTCAGAAATATTGTTCAATTCTAATTTCTAATAACTGCACTTAAATTTGATTAACTTCACAGTTTCCAAAAAGTTTTCTAATGAAATATTTTTGGTTTAATTATAACATTTTTAATTGTCAATTTGTTTACGAAATGTGACATGATAAAAGAAACACTAGAGGATATATCGAATTAGTACTCAGAGTTCGAGGCAGTTCATGTGAACTAATTCGCCACGAACAGTCTTAACTTTATTTGTCATCTCCATCTCCAGCAGCACTTTCTACGAGCGAGAACGTCGTCGCGTTTGCGGGAATTATTAATTAATTAACTGTAAAAATATAGTATAAATTTGCACAAAAAATGCAAACAACTGCGAGCGGATACAGTTGTGTGCAGTTTTATTTCGTTTCATCCCAAAATGTGTTGCGTGCACGCGCAAATATGTCGTGGTGATGCCAGAGTCAGCTAAAAAAGGCGATGTAGTATGATTTTGCAAGACGTTGAAAAACTGAGAATAACAAAGCGAAGTCAAGGTGAAAATTATACAAAAATTAATGGATGCGCGATCCGATAGCATATGCATATCAAATTAACGAAATATGCTCGTATTTCGGAACGATCAAAACTGTGTGAAAATAATTTCAAGGTTTGCAGCGCGAGCAAGCGAATAGAAAGCAAAAGGTAATTGAAAAATAGAACGATTTTGGCACAAGCGCAGAGCGTAGTCTATAGTCTATGGCTATGTTATTGTGTTGTTGTTAACGTTTTGTCTATGACTGGGTGGGTGGGGCGTGATTTGGGGGGCAGCTGGTCGTCGCAGCAGCAAAACAAAACAGCGAGCGTGTTTGTCGCGTATGTGTAGACGACAGAAGCACTTGCCTAAAACGGAACGGAAAGTGAGTGCAATTGAAAAGAAGCGACATGAAAACAATTGTGTTGCGCTCTGCCTGCGAAAGTAGTCACAACAACAACAAAAGCAGAGACAGGGGCAGAGGCAATGCGAAGAAAAGAAGAAGAGAGCAAATGCCTGCCTGCCTTTGCTGCTTTGTAATCTCATGTAATTTGCCGCAATTTTTACTTGTGTATTCTGGCTGTTTCCGTATTGCGTGTGTTTGTGTGTGTGTATGAGCGCGCTTTGCTTTGGGGTCGGTAGGTCGTTTTGTAGCGCGCGACATATTGTCGCTTGCATTCCGCCACAGTCACACACAGCCATCTGTGTGGGTATGTATGTATATGTATATGTTTATATTGTATTGCGAAGCTCTCCCCCGCTGTCAGCGTAAGGCGGCAGCAGCATTGCATGTTCCTTCGGCTCTGTCAGAAAAAGGCGCGCGCGTTCGGTCCGCTTTGCTGCTGTAGCTGAGAGTTAGTTTTGCAGGCTCCACCATTTTTAAAAACGCCAGCTACATTAGCTGACGCCACCGACGCCAGCGCCAGCACCAATCAACGTCATTCTCTCGGCTGCCGCTGATGCTCTGGTTTTGCTTCTGGGGTTGTCCGCTGCCATTACCATCCTCAGTGCTCCCCATAGCGTGCCCGTTGCATCAATTATAGGCTGTGCCGCCTGCCTGGCTTCGTTTTGTTAAATCCTCATTTCTGTTTGTGTTTATTCGAGTGCAGATAATCAAATTTATATTGTGCATGCAAAATACAAATGCGCGAAAAGAAATATGCTAAGCGAATACGATCGCTGTTGCTGAGTTAGCTGAGTTAGCAGCTACATATGAAACACCGCACAATTGTGAGTATCCCACAACGGCTGTTGTTATTGTTGTTTCATGTGCATGCGAGTTTTTTTTATTTCTCTAAATATGTACCGTTTATTGAACTTTGACGAATTGTCTGCCGTTATGGGTGTGTGGGTGCCTGTGTAATATTAACAACTATCATTTTGACACATAACCTCAAACATTCAAACTGTTCCTTAGTAAGCTATGCCTAGTTACCGTTATATATAAGCGCGGCATGTGCGAAAATTGTTGTATATTTATTGTGTTTGATTTTAGCTTTAATATCGTACACAAGTTATTGTGAGCTACAATTAAACAAAAATGTGAAATCCCACCTTAAAAAGAGTTAAAAAAAAACCAGTAAATTCCACTTGACCGCTCTTTAATACTGTAATTGGGTCCGTTATGTTTTAATGCTTGCTCATGTGCACACATACATAGAGCATATTCGTATACATGTATGTCTGTACATTGACACAGCTGCATTGCCGAGAGAGCTTTAAAATTGTAACAGTAGACAACAACAGCAATAAAAAAATCGAAGAAAGTCGCTAGCGAAACAACTACAACATCTACTGTAACAAGCTTTATTATAGCCGTTCGAAATGAGCACAGCGTATAAAAGAAGAAATTACAAATGAAATGAAATGAAATAAAATAAAATAAAATAAAGCGCAACAAAATTGTGTGAAAAGTGTAAATCACAGAAACCCTAACCACACTTATTCTGAATCTTTCCGTTCCCGAGCGCCCCTATATTAAAGCTAGACATGCCTTAACCTAATAGGTAAATAATGATTTTGAAAATTTGTAGTATTATTATTGATTTATCGCCACTGCAATCGCCGCCGCCGCCACCGCAAAGCCCCAAGCAAAGGTGTTATGTACCAAACTCGTTATTTATTTATTTATTTTTCTGATAAGAGCCACCCCGTATGTGCCGCCCGACGTCCGATTGACGGACGGACGGACGTTCGGAACGGGCTACAATGCTAATTTTTTTCTTTTTCACATTTAATCATAATTTATATTTTCGTTGTCGTATTTGTCAGGTTGCAATTTTTTGTTATTGTCGCCACATTTGTAAATTTAATAAATTAGCAAAAAAAAAAATTGATTTGATTAACTTTGAATGTTGTCGTCGGCGTCGACGACGTCGCCGTCGCTTGACATCTATTATCGCCCGAAATGGGAGCAAAAACAGCAAACAGCAAACAGCAGCATCTAAAGAGGGGTAAAAAGTGTTTCCATTTGTGACGTGATTTGAGCTGATCACGCGTTTTTCAATCAAATCATTGCACGTTCCATAATTATGTTTTATACAAATTCTATCAAAATGTAAAATTAAAACAACAATTAAAATAGAATTATAACTTTTGTGATCTTATTTTCAACTTTTTAAAGCGAACTCAATTGTAGGTATTTACAGAAATACACTTTTGTCTGATGTACTATCTTCACTTACATTACGTTTACGTTTCCTTTTCCCATTTCAGTACTGGGAACTGAACGAAATAAGCAACACACTGCAAACTATAACTGATTGTAATAACAACTAGTAGATCAAAACGATAATATTTATTGAGCAGTTAAAGAAGAGCAGGAACAACGATATGAAGTACACAACAGGAACAGACAACGCGCTGCCTACTGGCAGCAGCAGCAGCACCGACCCCCAAAATGCATTAAACGAAGTGCAATCAGGTGTCACAACCACACAACAACAACAACCAGAACAACAGCAGCAGCAACTGCAGGAGCAACAGCTCGTAGCAACGACAAGTTCCGGCCAAAGCACGGCCGCCGCTTCAAACCCCAATTTAAATCCAAATGCAAACCCAAATCCTAGCAACAACAACCAAATTGATACCAATGCTAATAACAGCGACACAGCACCAGCATCAGCAGCAGCGACAACGGCCACGGCAACGACAACAAATGCTTTATTTTGCGAGCAGGTGACGACAGTGACGAATCTGTTCGAGAAATGGAACGATTGTGAACGCACAGTGGTCATGTATGCGCTGCTGAAGCGACTGCGCTATCCCAGCCTCAAGTTTCTACAGTATTCCATAGATAACAATCTGACACAGAATCTGGGCACATGCCAGTCGACTCTGAACAGCGTCGTCATTGACATCAATGCAAATAATCCAGCCTACTTGCAAAATCTATTGAGTGCTTACAAGACGTGTCAGCCCAACGATTTAGTTGAAGGCATGTCGTCCTCCTCGTCGGACAAGGACTCAATGCATTGCTACGGCAGCGACTTTCAGATAACCAGCACAAATGCAACCCAGATGAGCGGAGACGAGCGCAAATTGTGTGTGCGCAAGGAGGATATACTGCACGAGGTGCTTAATATGCTGCCACTGCTAAAGCCGGGCAACGAGGAGGCCAAGCTGACCTACATGATGCTGATACCCCTGGCTGTAAAGGACACAGCGCAGCAGCTGGTCCCCACCGAGCTGGTGCAGCAGATATTCTCCTATATGCTTATACATCCCGCCATTGGCAGCGATGATCGCCGCTCGCTAAATGTATGGCTTCGCCATCTCGAGGATTATATACAGGCGAATAAGCGCAGCAGTTTCTTTGTACAGCCGGATCAGCTGCAGCTGCAACTGCAAATGGCCACAGGCGCTATTTCGGACAGCTCGTCATCGTCCTCCTCATCGTTGGGCAACTTGACGCGCAGCTTTGATTGGCAAACGATTGCACCGCCAAGCAGACACCACAGCAAACAGCTGCCTAGGCAACCAGGTGAATGGCGAGGCAGCGTTAGCGGCTCCTGTGGCTCCATCAATCCACTCTGTGATAATTTAAACGGTATTACACTGAACGAATTAGCATCTAGTCAGAATAGCTTAGGACTCTCCCTGGGCAGCAACTCGTCGCTGGTCAATGGCGTCGTTGCTGGCGCTGCAGCGGGCTCCATCATGGGCATTGGCGGCAACGATGATCATGACACCTCATTCAGCAAGAATGGCACAGAAATCCTCGACTTTGAGCCAATTCATTGCGATGGTGCAAGCAATGGAACTGCGGAGACAAGCGGCATATGTAGCGCTAGTCTTAGTCAGCAACAGGTAGGTGAAACCTTAATGTGATAATTTTAATATTAAGTATATACTTAATAGGACATTTTTATTTAGGTTAGTTAGTTAGGTCGCTAATGATGCCATTTAACTTAAAAATAAAGTAAAGAAAAGAGTTTGATAATTAGATAAGAAATTAATAAAACTGAGTCATTTGTAAGCATAATCTATCAGCTCGAAAGCAAATAACATGTGTCTGTATATATGTTTACAGAGTCCTTCACAAGCTGCTTCAATACTTCCTCAGCTGTTGCAGCCGCCACCGCCACCTCCTCCGCATCAGCTGGCATACTCCTCTATACTAATGGGATATGTGGGCGATCAGTTTGGTGACGTCAATCGCTGGAGCCTGGATAGCAAGATTGCAGCGCTTAAGACCCGGCGTTCGAACAGTCTGACCACACAAACGATCTCCAGCTGTTCATCAAACTCATCGAACTCGTCTGTGATTACGGTTAACGACAACTGCTCCAACTCAACAGAGAATTTGGCTCAGTTCGCAAATAAGCCGCGCAGCTTTTCTCTGTCCATTGAGCATCATCGCGCCAACAGTACACTGCCGAACAGTACCTCGGACACCCGCCTCGATGACTTCAAGCCCAGCTACATTAAATTCCAGACGCGTAATGTGGGTATGTCCGGAATCGGCTTGTGGTTGAAGTCGCTGCGTCTGCACAAGTACATTGAACTGTTCAAGAATATGACGTACGAGGAAATGCTACAAATTAGCGAAGAGTTTTTACAGAGTGTTGGTGTGACAAAGGGCGCGTCTCACAAGTTGGCGTTGTGCATTGAGAAACTGAAGGAACGCTCGCACATTCTCAGCAGGGTGGAACAGGATCTGCACACGGGTCAGATGAAGATAAGCAACGCTATCGAGGAACTCACAAACATTGTGCTGACGCCAATGAAGCCATTGGAATCGAATTCTGGTGAGGACAATATTGGGTTGCGTTTCCTCAAGGTAATCGATTTGGTCAGCAATGCCTTGCAACAAGATCCTTACTGCGTTCCGGATGAAGAAACACTGGGTGTGTTCATGTGGATACTTGACCGTTCCATACACAACGAGGCATTTGTAAATCATGCTAATCAATTGAAGGAACTCAAGTTTAAATTGTCCAAGATAAAGATGTCCATGGTACCCAAGCTTCACCATGTGAAGACAGCAAGTGGCACAACCAGCAATATGAATAAGCCCAGGTAAATCGCATAGCCTATCCTACACAGGTGTTTTTTAGTATTTAATTTTCGTAATATTTTCTGCACAGGTGGAACGGAAAGACCCGCAAATGTGATCCAAAAAATGGCAGTACTGATCGCATCAATCATCGCAAGAATTCAAATGATATGCTGAATTTTTCGCTGAGCTGTTTACAGCATCCGATACAGCATCATCAGCAGCAGCAGCAGCAACAACAACAACAACAGCAGCAGCAGCAGCAGCAGCAACAACAGCAGTTTGATTACAACGGAGGATATCAGACGCAGCAGTACAAGAGCTCCTCATACCCCAACTTTATGAATAATCCTCAGCAACAGCAGCAGCAACCGCAGAAGCATCATTCACAGCAAATGCAGCAAATGTTGCAGCAGCATGCACAACACTTTCCAGCGTTGCCTCAACAGACGCCACCGCCTCATCACAGACGTTCGTTGAATAATCTAATTGTAGTCGCAGGCGGGCCACAGCAGCCGCAGCAACTGATCTTTAAGCCCGGCCAAGGGATACTCACCAATAGCAACAACAACGACAATCTGCAGCAGCAGCAGCAGCGTAAGCCTAGCTTAAATGGTCTCACTAATGGATCCAATTTAATATCAACTGTGGAGCAGCAACCAAAGAAAACAATGGCCGCTGTGGTAATGGTTAGTAATGTAAATCAAACTGAATCCAGCCAGCAGCAGCAGCAGCCACCGCAAATATTAATAAACAACAACAATAATAATAACAATAACAGTAACGGCAGTAACAATAATAATAACAATAATATATTGAACAACAATTCGATTAATCATCAGCAGTTGCAATTGCTGGCTGCTGCTGCCGCCGCCGCTGCAGTAGGTAATGGGAGCTGTTTGTGCCCCGGTGATGGTTGTAGTGACGATGTCGTTGCCTGTAGCGCAATATGCAACAACAATAATAATAACAATAACAATAATAATTTTAATAATAACAACAGCAGCAGCAATAGGGATCACTGCCTGTCTCAGCCGCAGCTTATTAACTTAAGCATGGCCTCGCTTAAGGAAAGCTTCAATATGCAGCCGCATGATTATAAATTGAATGACTTCAAGAGCTTGGAGCAGCTCGAGACTCTGTGTCGGCAAATGACTGAGCAGGCAATGAATTAAGCTGTTGGCAATGTATAGTTTTAACTGTTTTTCAAGTTCAATGTTAAATTGTTCTGTCTGTCTGTTTGACTGTGCGTGGGTGTGTGTGAGTGTATGTATATTAAACCCCAAAAGGTTTGACCGTGTTTTGTAATCGTTTTTAGTTCTGTAAGATATTGAAAAGTGTGTTTAACTATTAAGTTAATTTTCTATGTTAGGGTGTGCGTATCTTAATCTGTGTGTGTATGTGTTTGAATTTGTTTGTTAAACGAAGCGACTGCTGTGTAAGTCTGGAGCTACTGCAACCAAAGTGAAACGGCTGGCCGTTCTAAACTGACAGGGTTTAGCTGACAGATAACTCCCTTCCCCAACAGCTATTGGCGCAACTAGAGCACAGCTTCAGAAACGACTCAGAGGCGCAGTTGTAAACGCTGCCAATGTTATTAATGTTTAAGTTGAATATGTCAAAATGTAGTTCCAACTAATCGCCAACTGAATGCAAGACAACAACATCCAACAAAGAACAAACCAGCATCCAAACCCAACAACTATAACTTTCTCTCTGTAGGAAAATTTGGCCAAATTTGATCAACATTTTACCCTATTTTGACGGCTGCACCCGCTAATCCAGACGTCGACGACGAAATTGCATACAATATATATATATATTTATATATATATGTGCATGCATATGTTAATAAATTATATTATGAACTCTGCATCGTGACCATGAGACTGACTAAGATTATTATATTCGCAACTATGTAAGAACTAGAAGAAGAGCTGGAATAATGAAACACGTTTGAAGCTACACACGATACAAGAAACATACGCGAATCAAAAACGTTGCTTGCTGAAAGTCACATAATGAACTATATAAATATATATATATATATATATAAATATATATAAATATATACAAAAATATATACACATATTTATTTTAAATTTAAAGGAACATATTTGCTGAAAACAAAACTGTAAACTGTAAATGTAAACACTTAAAGAAATTCATATGTTTGAGTTGTAACGAAATGCAGAAGTGGTTTAGGAACATTAAGCTAATGCAACACATACTGTATTTTGTATAAGTAGTAAGAATGTAAGCCAAAAACACACACACATGTTAGACAATGTATTGCATATATATACATATATGCAAATATTAAATATGTTTTGTTTTGCTTTTAGGCTTATTCAATTGTTCAATGTAAACATGTGCTGTATATGATAATGATGGCAATCGATATGTTATGTTATTTTAAATTGTTTTGAGAATTGCTTTATATATTTATATATGTATATATGCATATTTGTCAAATATCGATCGAGAATGCTTTGTAACTAAGCTTAAGCTAAATCTTAAACGAGAGTGGACCGCTGTAGCCCATAGCAAATTATAAGAACATAAATACAAAATGTTAGCTTAAATTAAAATTGTATGTAAAAACTGAACGAAATGCATGAAAATTGCAGGAATGTATATACATATATGGCTGATGCTTGACAAACAACTTCAATTGGTTTTTATTTCAATTATAATAAAAAACAACCACACACACATGCCAACATATACACCCACCCACACACATACACAAAAACACAAACCAAAAAAATGTTCTGTTGAAGGTAGAAGAATGCGGCAACAAATATATGTTAATTATATATAAAGAAAATTGATAGCCATAGCAAAGTTCAAAATACGAAAAATGGTTTAATAAGCAAAAGTTCAACTATTCAAAATATTGTGCATAAAGTCAAGTTAATTAAATAGAAAATAAATCGAGTCAAAGAGGATAAGCGCAGGCATAGAACGAATTATCAAATGTGAACATTCAGAGTGTACCTATTACCAATACACATATACAAACAAGCATATATATATAAACATACATATATATATATACTTATTTATTTTAAATAAATTATTTCAAGAACTAATTTGTGACTGTTTCTGAATGAGTGACTACATGAGACTTGGTTGCCTAACAACAAAGGTTGCCATGCGAACTTCTGTTATTTAAAGTAGAACGTTTAAGGGCTTTAAACTGACATATCGGACACAAACAACTGTTGAAAAGGAACTGAAACATATATATATATATATATAAACATATATATTATAGATATAGATATAGTACATAACTTATTGAGAGCAAAATTTGAACGATTAACAATATGCACAGGCATCGCTATAATAATGTACAACTTGATGGGCTGTCTGCGGGTCTGGCAAGACACCAGCAGCAGCAGCAGCAGCAGCAGCAGCAACAGCAGCAACAACAGCAACAACAGCATATGCCGTTGCCACGTGGAGGAACACTGACTGGGGATGAGGAGCAGCTGCCAATGTGGCCAAGCGAGCGCATTCCGCCTGGCGGCAGCGGTGCCTTTCATTCTCCAAAAGTGGAGTACAGCAAGGAGACTGCCGAGTTACTTAAGCGTGAGTAGACGAAGTCTTGCGTGCCATTTAGCTTGCCACTGTTTGCGTTGCAGTGCTCATGAAGGAATCGAGGATGTCCATGATTATGCGCAAGCAAATCGATAATAGCTTACGCAGTGGAGAGCCACTTCCCTTGCCTAAGCCCCCTCGTCCCAATACCAGCAATGATCTCGATAAGGAGACTCTGGCTATACTGGAACGTGCTCGCAATGCTAAGCGTAAGAACTTGCGCCAAATTGAGCGTAGCGGAGCTTATGAGACGTCCTATTATCGTCCCAAAGTGGACAATCGCATGTTGAGCGATAAGGCCAAGGCCAGGCTCCAATTCACCATGGCTGGAATTGAGTTGCCAGATCCGTCCGTAAAGCCGCTACGCCGTCCCCGCGAAGATCGTTTGGTTACCGAAAATGACTTGATCAATGAATGTGAGTCCGGCAGTTTTTGTAGTTCTTTAACGCTCCATATACACGTATCTATATATATATATGTCATCTCAGTGCTGGATCAAATCAATGAGCGTGCCGAATGGCTAGCCGAAATGGAGGCTTTGGGGCAGGGTAAGAAATATCGCCCGGAGATACACGATCAAATCTCCGAGCGTTTGCATCGCATCCGTAGTTTGGAGACTAAGATCAAAATGAAGGAAGATGGAGGCTATCGCTTTGTCGACTAAAAACAAATGTTAAATGTTTAATGTATAGAAATAGTGTTACACGAGTAAATTGAAAGAACCGTTGGGCAAATAATGTTTTCTACTTCAATTGTTGGCATACTTTTGGGCGCAGAAAAGAATGGGGAGACGCTTAAGTTGTAATCATTCGTATTGTTTTATTAAAATTATTTACTTGATAATATATAATCGTTTTGTATAAGTTTAATTTGATTCGTGGCACATATTTGATACAGAAAAGAACCCACACAGCTTAATAATTTAAGAAGCGCAACTCAATGAAATTACGAGCGCTCGCTATTGGGCATTTGGCAAAATGAGCGCACACTACACGATTGAAAATACATATGAATTTGTTTAAGTAATCGAATAAATTATTGGAGTATATGTTTAAATATATAGATAATACGGCTAGAATATCCTGTTCCTATTTCTTATGTTTCCGTGCGTGTATATATATATATATAGGTATACACATCTATGCTCCATTTAAAAATAGACATTTTGTGCTACAATTGTACAAGATCGTGGATTAACAGGATGGCATGTGGCATCGGAACTCGCCTGCGGCTTCGGCGAAACGATTGCGTATCAAATAGCCGCTAATGACCTCAGCTACCTCGTGTGGACGGTCCTCGTGTACGGCGTGACCGCAGCGTGCCAACACTTGCATCTGGAAGCGTCCCTGCATCTGGCCTACGGTAAGGGTGCGATCAAGGCCATCAATGCTGGCCAGGAGCAACTGTTTGGGTAATCGTAAATTAAGGAACTTGTCGCTGAGACCCGAGAACCAGCCGACCCAATATTTTTCCGATTTAGCCAGATCGATACGCCAGGTATAGCTACAAATATTCAAAATACGTTGCTTCATTGGTGCTCACTTTACAAATCAAAAACTCACTTCTTGGCCGCATCTGTTGCAGCTTTAGTCGTTGTGGGCTTCTTGAAGTCTACGCTTTCAGCTCCATCTTCGCCAGCATTGCCCACCTCTTCATCTTCAGAAATACTGAATGCATTGGGAAACATGCTTGTGTGATGCGCCTCCTCTAGCACTTCGTCCGGCAGGGGAAGATCATTCGTTGCCAATTTATTCGTTGTACAGCTAAAACGGCAAATCAATTAAAAATAAAAGCTCGTTTCGCTATGACGTCACTCACTTAATTATCTGTCCAGGCATTGAGACTTTAGCACTGTCCACATTCCGCACCTGTCCGCTACGTATGCACCACTCAATGGCATTCGGTATACTCTGAAAATACTTGGGACGCGAGCGCAGAAAGCTTTGCATACTGGCCAAAGCTTCCATAGCCGTGCCCTCGACCACATCGATTACGGTGATGCCAATCAGACTCGGCACCAATGCCATATGAGCAAAGTGCACAGCAATTGCCCCGCCCATTGAGTGACCAACCACATAGATTTGTGGCACCTCCTCGGGATAAAGCTTCATGATCAGATCACCAATGTCCCTATAAGTATATGCACCGCATTTAGGCATCCACTCACACACAAGCCACAAATACTTAGAGAAGCAACAGGCTAACACTTACTTTGATAGTGTGTCCGCCGACAAGTCGTCTTCATCATCCACTCTACTGTCCCCGTGTCCTCGAAGGTCGACGCACAGACACTGACAGTGAATCATGCTTGTCACTTCCGCCTTGAAGGTAAAACGGATAGTGATGGAATATGATAATTGCTCACATGTACAGCATATATACATACACAAAAGTGCGCCCAGGTAAGCGCAGAATAGCCCCCACCGTGCAACAACAGCAATACAGGGCCGGGCTTCTCGGGTTTTTTAGTACGATAGACCCGAAATAATCGTTGCTCGTCCACGACTACGTCTTCCTTCTCGGTGAAGAACTCGTTCCACATACATGGCTTGTAGTCCCTAATTCGTGACTTCTTAAATGAATCTCTGTAATGGCATATCAATTAGATGTCATGTCCTTCATCCTCCTCCCACATGCATATAATTAGCGGATAAAACTTACGCTCTGCCAATCCGGCCACCCGGAATGGTGGGTGGCAATTTGGACTTAAGCATTGTTCGTTGTAAGCTTGACATTGCTTACGGATTGTCTGTTAAATACTTGCAGATGATGTATTACCAAAAACTTTGTATATTTTTTCGTTATGTTTTCTCTGATGTTAGGCGCCCGAAAACTTTAACATTCGCTGCAATGTTATTAACAGCGCATCTAAAATGAGTGTTAACACAAATATACTGGTTTTGTATGCTTGATTCAAAAATTATTCAATAAGTGATGCGAAAATATTGAGCAACAGTTGAATTAAACAACTTTTTGATTCGCGGGAAAATTACCTGTGCAGTTAGTAACAGACTTTTTAACTATCTCTTTTATGTTAACGAAAGCAAAAAAGATTTTTAACAGAACAGCTGTTACTTAATAGTTATCGATATTGTTAGATTCTTATTAGAAAACGTTGAGGTATACTTACATATTATATTTGCTTGTATATTTTATTATACTTTATTTTTATATTATATATATTCATGTTGGCGACGTTCACGATACTTCGTTGACTATCGAATAATCAGTCATATCTAGTAATGATCGATATAACATATTGTCAGATATATCGGCGGCCTAATTCAAAATTTAAATTGAAACACCCGATTGTGAATAAAATAATAATAAAAATTATAACGATGGCATAAAAGATGCAACTATTGGTAGTATTTTGAATATCTGTTTTGAATATAAATTTCACTATGAATATGTATGTGTATAAATTTATAATTTTTTAAAAACCTGTTTCTAAAAGCTCATCAATTTTTCTAAAAAAATTCAACCATGTTGCAGGGCTACAGTGAGCATGACCTACATGGAATTCAGGCTGATAACGAACAACTAATGTAAACAAAACTCTAGACGACGTCGCACCAATGAGACGCGAACCATAGTTTTTGATATCTGCCTAAACAAAACGGAAACTGAGCAAGCTTGAGTTCTCAGTTGCCCATTAGCGGTCGTAGCGTTCGCATACACTGAAAATTACACAAATTGCTTTGTCCACTTATTTGATAACGTAATAAGTCAGTACAAGTGTTCTTGGCAACTGAAAGGGTGATAATAATAGTTTGGTATGTGTACGAATAAGTACTTTCGGTTAATGAAATTGTGAAAAAAAAGAGAAAGTATATTGGTTGAAGCACACTCGAAATACCCGCCAATTCAATATATATTTATCTTAAGTCTGGCAACGCCTACATATCAGCTGTTATCTTTAGCTATTCGCTATCTCTCTCTCTTTCTCTCTTAGCTCGTTTGAGTGTCTTAGGTCTTGCCGGCGCAATATGTAAGCCAAAAGTTCGTGCACTTTGCAGTCATTTGTTCAATTAATTAATGCAATTTGCGTCAATTTAATAACTGATGCAACATTAACATAGTTCCGAAACCGATACTTGCCAGTTAGTAAATCGTTGCATTTTAATCGCTCCAATGACATTGTGATAAGGTGAGTGCCGCGCTGATAACAGGCATTTTGCACACCTTTTCTATATACATGTGTGTTTGTGTGTGTGAGTGTGTGTAGCTATATTTGTTTACGTACGTATTTTTCTTTTTAATAGCCCGTGTTATTATTATAACGGCTTAACGGGGTATTGTGACACGTTCTCTTATAGCACAAACAGTTTTTCATCGAATTGCAGGTTAAATAATGGCATCGAAAAGTGGAAATGGTACAGTCCCAGCCTCCATGGTGGGAGATGAGCATGTTGCAGTCCAAAAGCTCCAGCCAGATGCTAAGATCTATGAGCGCCTAATGTCACTGGGTGGCTTCTACAGAGAGCAATACGGCGTTGAACCAGAGTTCTATGTGCGTGTGCCAGGACGGTAAGAGGATACCAACGTGATATCTATGTAATTTGTAGCCCGATTCTGATATGTATGTGTCCTGCGATAGCGTCAATATAATAGGTGAACATGTCGACTACTGCGGCTACTCGGTGCTGCCCATGGCCGTAGAGCAGAGTATTATCCTAGCCGTTGGCACCAACAAGCAAGTGGCACAGCTGGAGCTACATCATCTGGACGAGGGCAAATTTCAAAGTTTTGATTGCGATCTAAATGACCTTGAGTAGGTTAAAGCCGATAACGTTTAATGCATTTCTGTTTACAAACTAAAACTCTTCCACTGCTAGGATCAAGCTGCCTAAGACTGGGGGTCCGGCCTGGTACAGCTACTTTCTATGTGGCATCAAGGGCATACAGGAGGAGCTGGAGGCGAAGTGGCGCCCAGTTGGTATGCGCATTGCTCTTAGTGGCAATGTGCCTTTGGCCGCTGGTCTGTCCAGCTCTAGTGCTTTGGTCAGCGCCGCTGTATTGGCAACAGGACATGCGCAGGGCATGCACTTGGATCGCAAGCAACTAGCCTCGATTTCGGCTAGCTGTGAGCAGTATATTGGCACACACAGCGGTGGCATGGATCAAGCCATTGCCTATCTTGCGAAGCAGGGCTGCGCCCAACACATTGAGTTCCACCCGAAACTGAAGGGTACGCCGGTTACGTTGCCCACAGGAAGTTGCTTTGTGGTGGCCAATAGTCTTGTGCAGAAGCGGAAAGCAGCCTCTTCCGATTACAACGAACGCGTCGTCGAGTGTCGTTTGGCCACGCGTTGGCTGGCAAAGTCACAAAAATTGCCCAACTGGAAGGAATTTATCAGATTTATAGATCTCGAGGAGGCTTGTCATTTGGACAATGCTGCTTATGTGAAGCTAATTGAGCAGCAGTTGAAAAAAACACTTTACACACGCGAAGACATTTGCGAGACCCTGGGCATCACGGAACAACAGCTGGAAACCGATTTTCTAACGCCCAGTACGCAGCATATGCAGCAGTTCAAGCTGCGCCAGCGCGCCTTGCATGTTATTCAGGGTTAGTTTCAATGGGAACTATAAATATATTCGTTATCTAACTGCTGCTTATCCGCAGAGTCTGGCCGAGTGGTGCAGTTTCGTCAGATTTGTGAGCAGCTGCAACGTCGCTCTAGTAAGCAGGACATTGAGCAGCTGGGCAAGCTCATGCAGCAGTCGCATCACAGCCTGCGCGAGCTCTACGAGTGCTCGCATCCGGATTTAGAACGCCTCGTTGCCTTATCTGTGAAACAAGGCGTCAGCGCGCGTGTTACGGGTGCCGGGTGAGCGATTCATGATAGCTCTTAATCTGCCTAATCTAATATATAACATTAATTTAACTACGTTTACAGCTGGGGCGGTTGCATTGTGGCCATGTGCGATTCAGTAAAAGCTGCTTCGGATTACGTCAACGTACTCAAGAAGGAGTACTACGCTCAATTGCCCGCTCATCTATTGGAGCGCTATCAGCCCAACGACTTCAATGAGGTCGTCTTTGCCACGTTTCCCAGCAATGGCGCCGAGCTCTTTGTACAATAATAACAGTTGCGTTTTCACACCTGTATATAATAGTAGCTAACTCTTAGCAGTTCCACGCCATATAATATTCCTATTGAACTATTGCACCTTTGTAATGCCCTAGTTCCAAACCTACTGATGTCAAAATAATTATAATACATAAATGCATGTAAAACTGCTTAAATTTAAACAAAGTCTCATGATTTGCTTCTTTGGATTGGGACACAAAATATTCCTCATTTTGAACCAAGCCTGATTTTTATCAATAAAATTATTTAGTAAACTAAGAATTTCGAATCAGAGCAAAAATAAATAAAACGATGAAAGTGCTTGAAATTAATTAATACTAAACATGCTCAGAGCATAAATAATTGACTAATTTCGTTATCTTAGTTATTTTTAATAGACATAAATTTATAAAATTATGCATCCATCAAAACTGTCTTGTCCAATTAGAAATATATTATTTCAAAGTCAAGGACAATGTTTATTAAGTCAAAATAAAAGTTGTCGAAGGGGACGATGAGTTGAGGAGTTGTTGATTACATTGACAAATATCAAATTATATAGTACACATAAGCAACAAAGTACAAACTAGAATACAACAAGGCACATGAGCTACGGAAATGGTTTTCCCATCTATCTGCGACTCAGATAGCCCGCGTTCTTGAAGAGCTTGTAGACCTGTTCGCGAGGAATCTTTTCTGCCTCGCGATGGACAACTGCCATTTCCTTGCGGGTGAGCAAGGACTCCTTCGCCAGGTTGGCCGCAATGACCGGGTCATCGTAGAATCGGGCGCTCTTGGATAGTTCGTGAGGAAGCTGCGACTCCCACTGTGCGTTTTTCACCACCGAGGGATGCGCGTCTGCTGTGGCATAACCTGTGTACGGCGATTCTGGCTCATAGGCTGCTTTGGCTGGCAGTCCCAGCGCTTGATGATAGAAGAACTGAGCACGAGCAGTGCTCAGGGCCAGCGCAAGGCAGCCGAACACACAAAGCAGGCGGGTGGACCACATCGTAGGCGCTGCAAGAGAGGAGAACATATTGTAGCTGGGCATTGTATGTGAGCCGTTCCATTTTTGTATAATTGAAAGCTAATAAATGATATGGCTATATGGCTAATAATTTGGGTGCGTTGCTCGTTGGCCGTTGGCCGTTGGCCGTTGGTCAGCGGCAATTTGTAATCTTTCAGCAAAAACTGTCAGTTACGTGCGTCATAAATTATTTACGGAAAAATCAATTATCGCGCCAACAAGTGGAGCGACTGGACACAGGCCTGAGCACGGCTCAAGCCTAACTTGCAGCAATTGTTGCCACAGCTACTGCAACGGCAACTGTTGCTGCTGCTGTATCTGGCGCTTTATCCATGAACTTTTCGCAATTGACGTTTGTTTTTGTTCTTGTTTTTGCCTTGTGATAACACTGGACAGCATTGGTCATGTTTAAATTGTCAGTCTGCTCCACATAAGCTGAAATATTTCACAGTCTTAGTCACAATTACAAATTAGCATTCGAATAGGCGCAAGCTTGGCATTTGAATAGAACTAGAGCCAAAGTCAAGGTTGCACATTTACAGCCCACTCAATGGCTATTCAACAAGGTTTATCTGTCCGTTGATTGTGATCTCGGTTTCGCCCACAATTTGTAAACGGCTCTCACAAGTTTGAACACGGGGCAACTGGAACTGACACTGCACCTGGCTGGCAAAGTTGAAACAGAAACTGTAACTGAAATCCGAATAACGAAGTGGCGTACTTTTATGTGTTTCACGTTGAATGCCACAGCAAACGAGTTTCACTCAACGCGCGCCGAGCCGAGTCCGTGCGAAAAGCGCTCAAAGCTGTCGCCGAGTGCTGCGGGCTTGAGTAGCTTTAGAGGCGTCGACACATGGGTGTATTTATTTTTTATTATTAAATTAATTATGGATGAAAGAGCAACAATTGCGTCGACCTAGGCCTAGGCCGTAGTCTGTGCAATTAAATGCGTCAGTTTTTTGTTCAACTGCGTAAAGTTTCTCATGCTCTACAAAATGCCCGCCAAAAAAGGTCGCCAGTTGCCGGTCGCTGTTTTGGGCGAATGGTGCGCACAGCCTTACAGCTTGAGTGCCCTGGGCTGCAATGCTCGACCAGGTGACACCCTGCACACGTACCCTGAGAAGGTGAGCAAGAATACCCCAAGTTGTCTAGTCGGATTGCCTCCATTTCCTTGCCCTAGACCCACCACAGAGATTACTATTCAGCTAACTAAGCTAACCAAATGACCATATCACTTAGCCTACTCGTTTATCGAGTGCTGTGCGCACAGGGTATAGTTATTGTTTCGCATGTGTATACGTGTAATTTGTTTAGAATCGGAATCCAAATCCAAGTGCGACTGCGTTTGCGATTTCGAGTTTTGAAAGTGTAGTTTGACCCTGAATTTGAATGCTCAACCAGCTCGATGTCTCAGTTTCTCAGCTTCTCAGTCGCGACTGGAGCTGAACGTGAAGCTGCACATGTTTGACCCTAATTTGTTATGGCTGCTTGTAGTTCCGCTGGGGTTATTCAACCGCTGATGTCAGCTGATGCGGAAGCAGCTCTCCACCAGGGGCTCTGGCCGAGGGAACAGCTGGGGCCTAGTTGGGTTGCCTTGAACTTTATCGTGTAGGCGGCACAGGTGCGTAGCTCACTAGGTCTTTGCGGTAATTACATTGCCTGACTCTTAGCCCCGCTCTATGGGTTGGGTGTGGTCTAACAAATTGGTCTTTATTTATTGCCTGTGTCGAATTTGATATTTAATTAATAGACATTTGTATATGCATATTTAAGAGATATATGTATATAATTTGTTTATTTGTTTTGGCTGCTTTGTTTGTATGTTACCTTAAGCTGTGCTGAACAGCTTTAACAATAGAATAGTTTCAGTATGCAATCAAATTATTTTCTCTTAGAGCATGATCAACTTGTTTTCAAAACATAAGATAGAAATATTATATTCGAATATATATTATATTCTATAAAATTTTTGTATTATCTAAAACCAAAATTTGAAATGATGAAATTTGATCTTAATATTTCTCCTCTCGGAAGCCAATCAAAATGAGGTATACTTCATTTCAGCTTGCTAAGAATATGAGCATAGTAATAGCAGCTTTTTGTTCAAGATTTCAAATTTTACGCCTTCTTCTGCAGAATCTTTATTTAATTACATCTGCAATTTTTGTCAATCACTCATGCCAAGCCATTTAAACAATGCCTAAATATAATATAAATGAATGGATAAAACTGTAGATCATGAATTACAAAATAATTTTTGAAACATTTACAAATAGCTCACTTTCATTTAACAGTTATTTAAACTTATTAATTTAAATAACAGCTCAAACTACACGCACTCGCACGCACACAAAACTCAGCTGGACGCTGTGCCTTCCGTGGCGCCAAGGCCGATGCATGCAGTTTCAAGTGCACGCAATTCTGGCACAATGCAAACGGCTTTGCACAACACGGCGTATGAGCAACATGACATCCGCTTTGCCTTTGCTGAGGTTAAGCATACGCATAGTGTGCACTCGTTAAATGAGCGAAAGTTCGCACTGACCCCACCTTGAACGGTAACAGCCCGAACAACAGTAAGAGACAGTGAGCGAGCCGTTTGCCTCCAATGTCTGCCGGCTTTTAAATGAGCCTGCAGCTCGCGCAAAGAGAAAGACAGAAAGAGAGAGGGAGACAGAGAGAGAAAAGATTAAAGAGAGAGCACTCAAAAAGTTTGCTCGCTCGCTCAACTGCACTTGTGAATTGTTCGCTTGGACGACTGTGTATGTGTGTGTGTGCGTGTGTCCGTGTGTTGGTGAGTGCATTCTTAATGCAATGGAAAATCTTGCTGGCGTTGTGGTTCAGTTGTCGTTGTGCGGTTCGGCAGTCGGTTTCTTTCAACGCATTTGCACGTCTGTGCGAAAGTCACAATAAAACTGAAACTGAAACTGAAATTTCAAAAAGTGCACATAAATTAGCAAAAATCAATGGCATAGGCAAAAATTATTGTATTATACATCAAATATATGAACATATTAAAGTGACCTGGCCCAATTTAGAAATCCATGCCACTGGTGCAATGTTTCTAAAATGCTGCAGTTGCACAAACCAATAAATTGGGCGCACAATTCGCTTGCAAGTTTAGCTTCAACTCCAACTCAGACTTCCAATCAGTTGCGCTTCGGCAGCAAGCGAAATGACAACGACCGCCATGACGACGGGTCCATCAAATGGCGTCAGTGATCTGGCCGGCACAACAGCAGCAGATCAATATGTGGAGGACATTGAATGTTTGCGCAGACTGTTTCGCTCGAAGAATTTAATTAAGTTCAGCATTGGCCAAATCGCGTGCAGCGCGGGCAGCAGCAGCGGCGACAACTATATGTCCTTGGTGAAGCGGGTGACAATCCATGATGCGGGTAAAGAAGCTGCAGAGACCCGCATCCATCACTAACACATTTAAGTCAAGCTGCGTTCAGCCTATTGATTAATTTTGTTGCTTGTGTTGTTGTTGTTGCTACACTTTTAGCGGCGACGTCAACTGACCTTGTTAAGCGAATTCTAAATGCAATATAGATATACATGTATATGTAATATACATTTGCTAAAGGTCAACACGCACACTCGCCCACACATACTCACAAAAACACACACAAGCACACAGAAGGCAACTGAGCGACTCTCTCATCACACACACACACTCACACACACAAGCATTCTGATAAAGAGCAAACAGTTTCATTCATAAAATTTACTACGGCGCGTAAACAAAAATCAGCTGTGCAGCTTGCGAAAGAGAGATAGAGAGAGACGGAGAGAGAGCGTGTGAGAGCTGCAACCGTTACTCTCTCTGTGTTTTGCTTTGCGCGAAATTTGATTTATTTTGTTTTGTTTCTTTCAGCTGCCGCTGGGAGCGCGACTGCAGCTGCCTGCTGCTCAGTCATCATAAAGCGTCAAATTGCGAGTATCTCGCGCCGACAGCTTTATCGTTGCGGCGAGGCGTTTACAAACGAGATCAACGTGTATCAGCATGTGGTACCGCTGCTCTGCCGCTACAGCCAGCAGCCGCTGTTTCCGCAATGCCACATAGCTGCGACCACCGATGGCAGCCCGAATGGGGAGCCCATTATTGTGTTGCAGGACCTCAAGGCGCTGGGCTATCGCATGATGAACCGCTTGGCTGGTCTTGAGTTGCGACACTGCTTGCTGGTGATGAAGGTAAACAAACTGCTGCAGCACTTTTCCCACAACACACACACAATCTAATGTTCATCAATAATTTTGCAGAAACTGGCGCAATTGCATGCAGCTTCACTTGCCGCACAGCATCTGGAATCTGCACATTTTGCCCAGCAGTGCGCGCACATGAGCGAAATTGTATACTGCCCGGATGCCGCAGACTTTTATTCTCGCATACTGGACACCTCGGTGCAGCAGGCGCTGGACAGCCTGAATGCCTCAAATGCGGATGGCAATCTCTCGGCGCCCATACGCCTCATTGAGCAGCTGCAACCAAAGCTGTTCGGACAGATACATCAAAGCATTAATGCGGCCGCCGCAACTCCGTTCAGCGTGATCTGCCATGGCGACTTGTGGCTGAACAATTTAATGTTTCGCTCACAGCCCGAGGAGGTCATCTTCTTTGACCTACAGGCCATGCGTCGCACCTCGCCAGTGTTTGATATTCTCCATTTCATATACACCAGCACGCACCGCCAGCTACGCGATGTGCATACGGACACATTGCTGGCTGCCTACGCAGAGGCGCTGCGTAAGGAGCTTGGGCAACAGCTGCGTCATACGCCGGCTGCCGAACATCTAGGTGAACTCTGCGAAATCTTCTCACTGCAACGTCTCAGCGAGGACTACGTGCGTCATGTGCACTACGGATTGGCCATATCTATGTGGATATTGCCTGCGGTCACGTTCGATCCCAATAACATACCAGACCTGGATGTCATAAGTGAGCTGAATCTGAATGGTAAAGAGATTAATTGTACTCAAAAGTTGACGCCCGAGTATCATCTGCGCATCCGAGACTTGGCGCTAGAGTTCTATGAGCATGGCTATCTGGACGTGTAAATATGTATAGTACTATTAGCTATTAAGCCATTTAAACCAAGTTGTTTTCACTTAATAAACACGACAAGTATTTTCTCTCATGTTATGGATATCAATCTCAATTTGATGAATCTGATTAGGGAAAGAGAAATACTTAAAGAGCTTTGGCAGTTATAACAAAGACAATTGCAGCATTTGTTGCTTCCTTTATTACCAATAATTCCTCACTATTGTAACTTAAACGAATTTTGTTGATAAATGTTCTGTGTTGGCTGGTTGTTGGTATCTATAATAAAAAAGCCAAGATCTAAAAGAAAAAACAAATAAAAGGACAAGCTTGTTGGGCGTTCCTATAAAAGCAAACATGGAATTTCATGATAGGGGGCGTAGACTTTGTATTCAGCAAGCGTCTCACTTATTGCCACCTCCGCCCCAGCCAAGAAAACCTTTGACAAAGCCCGTAATAGAGGCACCCTTCTTTCCAGGCGATTCGAGCTTATCCTCCAGGGATGGTAGTTCCAAGTAGTTCATAGCCAGATCGAAAAACAGGGGTTTGCATGGTATGGGCTCCATATCGGGCGTCAGTTTGAACACATTGGGCGCCCGGGTATGCAGCGATTGGTCCTCCTTATATTGTGAGAGGCGTTCGTACAACGGTTTCGTTGTCTTCTGCGATTTAGTGGTTACGCCACTGGCATCCTCGCTATTGTCATCTTCCAGCACGCTATACGCATGAGCTGAGAACTTGCTGCCATCGATTGAAGAAACAATTTTCTTTAGCTCCGATTGGAGTTCAAATTCAGCACACGATTTGCCCTTAAGTGCATCGTTGGCATAGTTGGAGGCGCGTTCGTACAGCGCCACTGCTTCCTTCCACTTTTTCATATCAATTAGAGTGAGTGCAATATAATAGCAGCGGAAGGCTTTAAATGTAAGCGCTAGGTTGGCCACTTCGCTCTGATATTGAGCATCCTCTTCCATGCCGCTGATTTGCTGCATTTCGGTGACATTCTGCAAGATGATCTCGTACAGACGTGCCAAATCCTGCGGACGTACGCGTTTTCCTTCGGTTTGAGCTTGGGTTTTCTGTTGATTGGGGTCATCAAAGTTCAACTTGGCCTGCGTAAATGAATTCACAGTTTAGGTGGAACGGACAACACCGTTGCATGTAGATAAATTACCTGATCAACTAAACACAAATTGCGCTGTAGTGTGCGGCTATGACGTATGTAGCTCAAGTATGCGAGCAAATATTGCACTCCTGAAACAGTTTGACCTGTGGTCAGAGAGCGTAGCTTGGGATCCTGCTTAATCTCGTCGCGCACTGCCTGTATGGCATCCTTACAATCCATCAATATGCGTTCGATTAGCTCAATCTTGGCGTCCAGTTTGGTTGTCTTGGCCAGTGATTTGTCCAGTTCCTGGGCGCTAAGCAAAAACAGTCGTACCTTTTCGGGACGCACGGTTACCTTGCGACCACGCCAATCGATCGTCTGGAGTCCCTCGCTACTCTCCGATTTTGTTTGACTAACCAGCACGTCCAAGTTCTCCAAAACACCTTGTGCACGCAGTTCGAGTATTTCGTCGATTTTGCCGCCACTAGCACCACCGCTAATGTTATACGCACAGTAGCGCAAATTGGGAGTAAACTCATTCACCTTGGCACGATACAGCTCCTGATCGTCGTCGGGCAGCGCCTTCGCCAAGTTCTCATATACCACCTGGGCACGTTTTAAATGCTCACCAGCCGACTTCCACAATTGCAGGTCAAAGTGCAATGTACCATGCATCCAGGCCACATATGCCTCGCACTCAAGTTTCGTGCGTGCATCGAATGCCTCCGTCTATGATATAAAAAAGAATTATATTTACTATAATCTGCATGTCTTATTGGCTGCACAGAAAAGTAGCTCAATTTGTATATTTATGATATCAACAAGTACTCATTCACTTACATTGCACAACTCTTGTAACTGAAGAGCATAGAAGCAGGCGCGTCGCAACTTGTTAATCAAATGGAAGCGCTTTCGCGGTTCCGTATTGGCCTCCTGTTTCAGCTGCATGGCATAGGCCCAGGCACGCTCCGCACTGATCAGTGGTATATGTATGAAACGCTCATCTGCTTTTTTCCCTGTCAGTTGGGATAACGTTACATCGCGACGCTTAAAGTGACGCTTGTCGCCTTGGGGATACTTTAATGCCTTGCGCAGACGTCGTATGCGGCGTGTACAGTAGCCACGATATCGTTGATAATCACCGTGTCGGAGACCATGTTGTTGTTGGGCATCCTTAATCATATGCAAAACTGTAGTATTTCCAAAAAATTTATTATTGTAAATTTGGTCACTTTTTTAGGTTAATTGTCTGTCTTTGCAGTTCCCTTGATGTGGGGTGCCTAAACTCACTTTCTACTGTGAAGATTTTCGCTGGTTCCGACACCAGAGTGCTGCTGTCATTTTTCTCCACAGTCTCTACATTATTTGGACTTGGCTCCTCGACAACCATTATTATTATTTTAATTCCAACAATACACCTACAACGTGTAAATATTCACGGATTTGTAAGAAATATACGAATGCACGACGGTCGGGTCGTCAAACGTAAACGTCATCATTGTTTTCCACTCCAGTGGTGGTACTTTATGAGTTAAAAGTATCGATATTTTACAACAGATTCGTACTATTTATTCGAGCCGTAACCATCTGATTGCTGAATTGGTTTGTGTAACTTATTTGTTAAAATAGTTTTATGTTTTTTTTTATGAATTGTTTATTTAATAAGTGCTTGTTTTAAATTTCATAAATTATTTACACTTACGGTTATCGATGCTATCGATTTATTAAGACCTTTGCCACCACTAGAAACTACTATCGTGCCCTCCCTTTGAAACTTGTTGGCTGACAACGCAAGAGCGTGCGTTGACGTTCTGCCTGTTTAAAATAAATTTCAGACAAGTTCGCAGGTAAATTACAAGTAAATTTGTGTATTAACATAATCACGGCACCTTGCTCAACGCGGCAAGTGTCACAGTTCATACGAAATTGTGCTGAAAGCACTTGTTTTGAGGTTATACTTTCACTGCACGCAACCTGACTGCCCCGTCTGCCGCTCCTTCCCGCATTGCACTAGTTTTGTTTTGACGGCTGCTTTTGACATTTGCAACGTTGACAGTGCGCGGAGCTGTATGATAATTGGAACATTTATAATTCAACAAACATTTTGCTTCCACTAGCATGTCGCGCAGGAAAGAAAACGAGGAAACGGACAAGCAGACGCGTATTGCCATTGTCAGCGATGACAAGTGCAAGCCGAAGCGTTGTCGGCAGGAGTGCAAGAAGTCCTGTCCAGTGGTGCGCATGGGCAAACTGTGCATCGAAGTGACGCCCACATCGAAGATAGCATCACTTTCTGAAGAGCTGTGCATTGGTTGCGGTATTTGCGTCAAGGTAAGGTAGCATGTTGTATATGCTTGAAAGTGTTTTTCTTGACGAACAGCTGTTAATCAAATTTCTTTACAGAAATGCCCCTTTGAGGCCATTACAATCATCAACTTGCCCAGCAATTTGGATAAGCACACAACGCATCGGTATAGTAAAAACTCGTTTAAGCTACATCGCCTGCCCATACCTCGTCCTGGTGAGGTACTCGGTTTGGTTGGCCAAAACGGTATTGGCAAGTCGACAGCGCTGAAAATTCTCGCTGGCAAGCAGAAGCCGAATTTGGGAAAATATGCGAACCCACCTGACTGGACGGAAATTCTAGCCTACTTCCGTGGCTCTGAGCTGCAGAATTATTTCACTAAAATCCTAGAAGACAACCTGAAGGCCCTGGTCAAGCCGCAGTATGTGGATCAGATTCCTAAAGCAGTTCGTGGTTCTGTTGGCGACCTACTCGACAAAAAGGATGAACGTGATCTGCAAACGAAAATTTGTGACATGTTGGATTTGTCCCATATTCGTGATCGAGAAATTTCGCAGCTTTCTGGTGGAGAACTCCAACGTTTTGCCATTGCGATGGTGTGTATACAGAATGCTGACATATTCATGTTCGACGAACCGTCCTCTTATCTGGATGTTAAGCAGCGCCTGAATGCTGCCCTGACTGTCCGTTCGTTGCTGCATCCTACCAAGTACATGAGCGACTTTCAAACTTATAATATTTACCATGCTAACGTGTTACTCTTTTAACAGGTTTATTATCGTTGTGGAACACGATTTATCAGTGTTGGATTATTTGTCAGATTTTATCTGTTGCTTGTATGGCGTGCCCGGCTGCTATGGTGTTGTGACTATGCCTTTCTCAGTACGTGAAGGTATCAACATCTTCCTGGACGGTTTTGTACCTACTGAGAATATGCGTTTCCGCACGGAGTCGCTCACTTTCAAGGTATCTGAATCGGCTACGGAGGAGGAGATTAAACGCATGAATCATTACGTTTACCCATCCATGGTTAAAACGTTAGGCAAGTTCGAGTTGACCGTAGAGAAAGGTCATTTCAGTGATTCTGAGATCCTGGTGCTGCTTGGTGAGAACGGTACGGGAAAAACAACGTTTATTCGCATGCTGGCTGGTAATCTGCAGCCGGATGGTGAAGTTGAGCTGCCCATGCTGAACATTTCGTACAAGCCGCAAAAGATTTCACCGAAATTCCAAAATCATGTGCGTCATTTGTTGCATGACAAGATTCGCGATGCCTACGTGCATCCGCAGTTTATTGCGGATGTCATGAAGCCCATGAAAATCGAAGAGATCATGGATCAGGAGGTGCAGAACCTTTCTGGCGGTGAATTGCAGCGTGTGGCCTTGGTGCTCTGTTTAGGCAAGCCAGCTGATGTATACCTTATTGATGAACCTTCTGCCTATCTGGATTCTGAGCAACGTTTGGTCGCTGCCAAAGTGATAAAACGGTAGGTATTTGATTTTTTTATATTTACTGAGTTTTATTTCATTTGATTTTTCGAATTTGCAGTTATATTTTGCACGCGAAGAAGACTGGCTTTGTGGTAGAGCACGATTTCATTATGGCCACGTACCTCGCAGATCGTGTCATTGTTATTGAGGGTCAGCCGTCGGTGAAGACCACTGCATATTCGCCCCAATCTCTACTCAATGGCATGAATCGATTCCTTGAGCTGTTGGGCATTACCTTCCGACGAGATCCCAACAACTTTAGGCCGCGTATCAATAAAAATAACTCGGTCAAGGATACGGAACAGAAGCGCTCTGGACAGTTCTTCTTCTTGGAAGATGAAGCTGCGTAATTGTGTATAGAATTGATTGCCGTCAGCTTTGTTTGAGAACTCGGGTTTATTCGTTCTACTGTACAAGCTATTCGCGTTTTTCTCTTTAAAAGTCACCTTATCTTTTTATTGCATTTTTTAACAATGACACATCTTGAAACATTATTTTCGTTATTTTTGTGCAGAATTACAAACAATCGAGCATATTAAGAGTTCTTTAAAGTGAGTTTTTTTACAAACACCGAAAATAAACTATATATAAAAACAAATACAATAGGAAAACCAATTTTGTATAGTCGAAATAAATTAATTTACTTTTTAGAAAACGGCAAAATAAACTGTGTTTTATTTATTGTCACAATTAGTGTATAATTCATATTCAATCCACCTTAGACTTAAAACGCAACAGGTGGCAGCGCAGAAGTGGCAATGGCAAGTTTTGCCAGGGGTTTTGAAAGAATTTCATTAAAATAATTGCTTGAGTTTGGCAAAATAATACGCATTTATTGCACTTAATTATTAATTAGCATAGTACACTCAAAATACGCACAATAGAAATATATAAATATTTGCATATAAATTACATAAGAATTTCTATGATTTCAAATACGATCACAATTCGAAAGAAACATAATATTTTATCATACTAACTACAAACATTTATATTAACACATGCATATGGGAAAGACATGTATAAACCAGAGCTTGACATTATTTATATTTTCATTTATGAATGCTTTAAAAGCATTAAATGAATGCGATTCAAAATGTACAAAATACCAACTTTTCGAAAAGGCAAATTTTTTTTAAATTGAACAATTACATTTGATCTGCTGCTTAGCGGAGTTGACTATAGTTAAGTAATAATTGTAAATTTGAAGACTTATTTTACTACAAATTCCATACATGTAAATGCGTCAAAAATTGACTCAAATTGTTATACATTTGATAATCTTATGTGCAAGTTTCAAGAGAGCTTTGTTAAAGTACACAGAGAAAGGAGATCGCTTTGTAATTAGATTGAGAGAGCTTCAGATTAAAACTGTTTTATAGATTACAATGTTAAATGGACATTTAGTCAAAAATGTTGGGTTACTCTGTTTGATCGAAAATCAGATCTTTTTTCTTTTGATTCTTGGTTTGTTTTCTGTTCTTTTCAGCAATGTTTATAAATGGAACTTTTCAAGACTTAGTCATTAGTGTTGAACTTTCATACAAAATAAAAGTTGCTTAAATAATTGATTCAAAATGGCTACAGAAAGTATCAAAAATAAGTGTATATATGTATGTACGTAAGTATGCATATATATATATATATATATATATATATATATATATATATATATATGCATATATATATAAAATATGGTTAGAGAGACACAGAGACAACTGCGCAATGAGGTAGATAACCAACTCATGCATTCTCCACATCATGTAATTGTGCCGCGACTTCCTGACTTAGTTCCACAGCCTGTTTACGTAGTTTGAACGCCTAAAACCAAATAGTAAATCGTTTTATTTAATTACAAATGCACAACGTGCGCTCAGATTTAGTTACATTTACCTGTGTTCTCAGCTCTTTTTCACGTGTAATCAGCTCATTTATTTGTGTCATGGTAGTTGCTAAATTGCGTTGATCAATCACCCAACGCAAATAGAGTTCTTTAAATAAATCAAAAATGTATATAATTAATAAATTTTATGCTATATAAAAAAAACGAACCGCTCCACAATTCCAAGCTAATGGGTGCCACAGATGGCCAAATCACACTGGCATTTGGTTCATACAACGGATTAAGTAAGGTTTGCAATACATCTGGCCGATTAAGGTACGACCACAAGCTGGTGGTCCTTGTGTGCACTTGCAGCTCGTGTCGCTCCCGTTCTGAGTTGCACAAAAACGTGCCATATTGCGAGAAGTAGCTGTGCTCAAAGAGCAATATAAGGAGCTGCGTGCTGAACTCAAAGCTGCACGGAAACTGCGTAAACAGCTGAAATATGCAATCCAGAAAGAGAACGAAGGTAGCACCCGAGCTCTTGTTCCGCATCTGATGTGGCGTGTAGCAGGAATAGCGATGTCGCGATGCGAAAGGATGACCCGCCTGGATCCACTCACGTTCAATCAAAGCTTGCAAGCTGCAATGCGATATTAATTATAATTATAATAATGTGCTAGAATACGTCACAACTAACCCGCGCACTGTGCGGCAGTCTGGATTTAAGATGATTTGCACCAACGATGTTACAATCAGGGTTGAGTCCAGCCCTTTAGCGCCGTGCACCAGCACTGGACTACCCTCCTGGTCCAAGCACTGAGCTACCACGCAAGAAGCATTCAACGAATTGAGCACTAGGCTTAACCACCCGCTGCTCTCCAGACGCGACAGCCACTTATCTGTGCTGCATCCAATATCATTGCAGGCCTCAATGAGTTTCGCAAAACTGTCCAGAATGGAGGCAGGTGAGCTGACATTGCCGATTGCGCGATTCACCTTCTTCCACTGCGAGTAGTGCAAGTCAGTTTCCGTGTTCGATTTGCCCTTGCCCCATGTGTCGACAATAAAGCCCTTTTTACTGCGTCCCAGCACAAGATTGAGTATCGCTTCATCGGCTCGACAGCGCTTGATACCCTGTATGGACAACGGCTGTGCGCTGCGCATCAGTATGGCCTGTGTGCAGGAAATAATAAGTTAATTTAATTATATTCTTAAACAGATCAACAATCTAATTAAACTGACGCCGTTCTCATGCCTGTAGCTGAGCAATGGGAAACGTCCGCCATCTCGAAATGCAGCGGAGAGTGCGATTTGTTCATCGCTAATTGCTTTAGGTACAATCAGTGTGGCGCCATATGTGGCACAGACGCCAAAATCATTGTTGACGTGGCTGATGCGCCACTCACAGGCCGATACAAAGCTGCCACTGCAGCTGCCAACCAACGCAGTTGCCGCGTCCAATGCAAAACCATTTTGCAGTGGATGGGGTATGCTGCTGATACCGATGCCAACAGACGATGTAGAAGGCGTGCAAATTGTTATGTTAGCCACATTTGGTGATGAGGCACCGCCCATACTCATGCCGCTAATAAGATGCGCAAATTCCAGCTCAGGTCTGCAATAAGGTCCGTCATAGTGGGATATTAATAAAATGATTTTTTGAACAAACCTGAACATGGTAAAGCCATCCTCTAGTATTGAATACATGGGTCTGTAGAAGAATGGATACTCCAGCTCTACGTTCTGTATTGCACTGAGCGCCTCCAAAGAGGCGGCCACATTGAAAAAGTCTTTGGCATATTTGATCTCCAGAGATATAATACGCAAATCCTTGCACTTAAGTGTTATGATGCCGCCCATGACAATGTTCTGGCCCATGCTCGGCTTCTTCTCCACGCAATCGATGTTCTTGTGCAGCAGCTGGAAAATGCACAATGTAATTCAATTAACAGTTAACTAGCAGAAAGCAATTTTTCGCTTCACTGGAGGTTTACCCATAGCTCCTGTGTGTTCTCCTGGCGTGCGCTGAGCAGTAAATGGTGACCCGTTATACACAGGGTGCCCTCAACTGTTGCATTTGTTGCATTGGTATGCAGAAATACCCCATCCAATTTGGGTGTTTTTATCAGATCAGCGAACTCCATGTCATCCAGGCACCCACCCTTGACCTACACACACACGCACACAAATTGTGACTGACCACCCACGGAGCGGTGATTTTGTTCACGCTAATTAACTTTCTGCATTTTGCCTGCGGAGCTGCCGCAGCGGCTGCTGCTGTTGTTTTTGTTATCGTTGTTGCCACTTGATTGCTTCTTCTTCCGCTACCCGCCTTTTCCTATTTTTACTTTGCTAAGCGAGCAACAGCAGTGTGGGTGTTACAATGTAAAGGAAAGCTAAGCTTGCATTATTCGGTTGCTGCAAATATGTAAGCACTCAGCACACACACCATTAACATTTATTACTTTTTTTAAATTATTATTTTATGCTAAAATAGCAGTTTTGTACATTTTGCAAGCGATAACGGTGTGTAGCCGTTCACTACGAAGCGCGGACACACAACGAATAAAGCTCAAGCAGCCGTATATTCGGTCAGCCAACGGCGTTGAAAAAATACATGCCAACCGCCCCTATGCGCGCGCAATTCAAATAAAAAACTATCGGTATAAAAATCACACGCCAAATAGATATATATTTATATAAATATTTATTTATACGTAAAAGTAATTTTCAAAAGATTTGTTTACAAAAAATAGGGAAGTTATCCTTTTTCGTCTGTTCCATGGTATTGAAACCAAGCACAACACTCGTCAGTATTTGTCTTTCAGGCTTATAAGTTAGGGATTCTCATTTGTTTCCGTTTATTTTGTATCCTTCGGATTGTGATCGTGTGAATTTAATTTTTAAACATAATAGAAAATATACCTATATATGTATTTTTGCGAGTACGCGTGTTTCGTTTGTAGTTATCGAAAAAAATTGCTTTTCTGGTAATTGTCACAATACGAATATATATGTAAATACTTAACAGCTTTAACGTACAATAAATGTATTGCAAATATACGCATCAACCAACTAACACACAGTTAATAGATGTGTAAACTATATATTTTTTCTTTTGTTTTTTTTTTCGTATAAGATATCACAACAGGATGCCAAAAATTGCCTAAAGCACGAGAATGAGGTGAGAAAGTGAAAGCATATATAAATAATCAGCTAAGTAAAATAATAATAGAAACGAAAGATTATCATTGGCGATACGCTTTATTTTCTCGCTAAAACATATGATTTTCGATTCTTTGTACCAACAACTTAAGCTACGTATAAGTAAATAAAATTATACTAAAATTAAGCACTTATAACGAAATTATGAATCGAACTGCAAATGAATTATTTAGCAAAAAAAAAATGTTTTCTGGTTTTCAGTTTGTTTTTAGATGTAAATGTAGTGTTTCATGTGAATATTTACATTATGCAATATTAGAACAAAGAAATGCACAAAGAAATTGGAATGCATAAACAAAACGAAAAGTTTGTGAAGAGGAAGACATTTATGCAATGGATAAATTAAAAACAATTCTAAATATGGCAATTGACAAAAATGTATGTATGTAATGTAAATACGTATTATTAAATATAACGATTATGCGATATTGGAAGAGCTTTGGAAACAAATCGGTGGAAGTAAGTTAATAAGCTAACAAACATAATTTTGTATTAACAATTTACTTTTTGTTTTTGTTTTGTTTTGTTTTGTGTTGTTTAAATTTAACATGAGAAATTAAATGCATTCAATAAATATGTATGTGTATGTAAAATGGAAGTAAATTTGTTCTTAACAACGCTTGGTTTTTGTTTTTGCTTTGTGTGCCAGAGCCTTCAATACATATATTTAAGTATACATGTATATTAGCTGTATGACAGTTAAATATATATCTATATAAATGTAAATATGTGTGTAATGTGTAAGTATATGTAAATGTACATATGTTTGCATGAATGTGTCTGTAGCATTCGTATAAAACATTAGCTTTCACAATTCGCTACAATTAATTTCTCTTGTATGTGAGTTTAAGTGCGTGCGGTAGTGGGCGTGTGTGTTGCCTAGACCAATCTTAAGTATCTAACTAATTTAGATAGTTGCAATTTGTCTACGCCTAGCATAACTGGTATATGTATTATATATGTATATATAAATATATAATATATATGTGTATAGTATAGAATTAAAGTATGTTTAGGCCTAATCATACTTCCCTTTCTTTTCTCTTTATGCTATATACAACGTTTTTCTAAATATATTAATGAAGTTTTTGAACTTATTACACAACTTACGAGTAATTAGCAATTAAAAATTCTTAGCAATTTTGGAGTTTGTTTTTGTTTGTGGTTTAAGTTTTTTGCAGCTTACATAGTTATCAGTTTTTCTTTGTATGGATATTTCTGCTACACAAAATAAAAGTAGAAAAATTTGTGTGTGTTGTATAAATACAAAAGAATAATAAATAGGCTTAAACGTTTAGATTTCGCTTGTTTGTTACTCCATAGTATATAAATGTGTATAAAAATAGTTAATTAAAAAATCTTAGATCTACACACGTTAAACTTGTAATTCGTACAAAAAAAAGTAGTTTAAAATAAGCACACGCTTAACGCATCTGTTGCTGTTGGAAGTGTTTCGAAGTACCTTTATGTGTATGTGAGTGTGAGTGTGAGTGTGTTTGTGTGTGGGTGGGTGTGTCTGTGTGTGTTTCTGAAGGGGGCAATAGTAGAACAGTTATGCGCATTCACCGAGTCAATATTATCGCTCTGGGTATGGCAAACACGCATAATCTTGAACGCTAATAAATCGGCGGCGCTGGCTTTGGCAGCACAGCAGCTGTTGCTGCCACAGCAACGGGGGCGTTTGTTACACTGCTGGGTGGGGCTGCCACAACACTTGATGCTGTAGACGATGGGCTGGACGATGAAGCATTGCCACAGCTATTGTTGTTTATGTTATTGTTGTTATTGTGCCGCTGGTTGCGCAGTTGCTGCTGATATTGCAGTTGTTGCTGCTGCTGCTGCTGTTGATGTTGATGATGTTGATGCTGCTGCTGCTGGAGCTGCAACCGCTGCTGCTGGTGCTGCAGATTGTGCATAAAGTAGGCGTTCACATTAATGTTGCTGTTGCTGCTGTTCGTTGTTGCTGGAAGTGCTCGCACATGTTGCATTTGGGGCAGCACCGGCTGCAGTTGTTGCTGTTGCTGCTGCTGTTGTTGCTGTTGGTGATGATGCTGCAAATTCAATTGACCAGCGGCGCGCATCATGTGCCAGTAGTTATCATCGCCAATTGGAGCCTGTCGACTGCCGTACTTGAGCTGCCGTGTTATGTCCTGCTTGTAGTCGCGATGATCCCTGTCAATCGCGTAGGCCTTGTCGCGCAGCTTTTCGATCGTCTTCTTAAACTCGACAAAGGCTTGTGGCGACTGCTGTTGTAGGGCGCTGGCCAGCGGGACCAGCGGATTGTTCTGCTGCTGCTGTTGTTGTTGCTGTTGGCTGTGCTGTGGCAGGGGCAGATGCTGATGGTAGGCGAGCGGGTCGAGCAGAGCGTCCAGCAGATTCATATTGGACATGATAAGCGTGTGTATGCGCTGTAAATCGAGCGCCGGATCGAGAGCGGTAACCAAATCCATTTGAAAGTAGTCCATTTCCTTGGCGGAGACGTTCTTGCAGCCTGGCGCATTCTCATCTGAGCGGCCGCAGCAGCTGTAGTAGCCACTGATAAATGCCGAGGGATGAAAGTATTGCATCCGGATGGAGTTCATTAGGCAGATCTTATGTAGTAGGTCGAACCACTCGCGCTCCTCCACGCAGTTCGTCGTTTGTACAATAAGCGGGCGGTCTTTGTGCACGATCTGTGGAATGGAAAATGTGAACAATCGTTTGAAATAAGAAAACAAGTTTTAAATTATTAGCGTTCTTTTCACTTTCAGCCTATATAAATAAGCAGTGAAACCGCCGCAATTGTCGTTTCACACGCGCCAAAATCCCACGCGTGCCTCCAACGTAACCGAATTCTTTGCTTTAGCTTTAAAGTGCGCCCGCGACTTCTTTAAAGTTTTGAAATTTCCCTTTTTGTCGCCGCAAAACAGAAATGAAAAGGTGAAGCAGAAGACTAACTAACAATGGCTCGGCAGTTCGAGCTGGAAACTTTAGTTGGCCATAGCTGGGGGGAAGTGCGGCATGTTGCCAGCTCATTTTCATAATAATGTTAATTATTTTTAATTGCGAGCTTGCCATTTGCATAGACGCAACGCGTATAGATGGAAATTCAAGTGATAAGTGAAAGTTTGTGCCGATGTTACTTTTGCTGCTGCCCTTTGCAATTACAACTAATTTCTTTGCCCTCCAAGCGGCTGAGTATAAATCAAATTTTAACTTTAAATATAATTCAAATTAATCAAATTGGTTCTTGGTGACAAAAGGTCGACAGCATACCTACATTACTCTATAGTAAAACAAAGCCATCAAATCCAACTAAAAGATTAAGTTTCTCATTGAATAAAGTATTACTAGTTGTGGGCCACACACACGCACACATGCAAGACATATGGCATCCGTGTCTGACGCACACACGCACACATTTGCTGCAACGCAACTGAGCACTGAGTATGTGTGGGTTGCCTGCACCTAATTTATTTATAAAAATTCATTTGTAAAATTGTGCATTTCCGGTATTATTGTCTTACATTCAATAGGGTATATTGACTATGTCTGAACGATGTTCTTTTAAGTGTCTAAGGAGTATCTAAGACTCAGTCTGTATATGCATTTCCCAGCTCGTTTTGCCAACTGCAACGAGGCGTGTCCATTCCTATTGCTTGATATGCTGTTCCACTTCTTAAGAATAGACTTATCGATCGAGTGATCTGTAGTTGCAACTCACCTTGAAGCAGTTTTGCATCTTAAAGCTCTTGTCTTTCAATTGCTCCACGCTTCCGATTTCCTCAAGTGGTATATCACAGATGGGTTGCTTGCCCTTCGACTTGGCATAGCTTAGCGAGTGCGTTGTCAGGCGAAAGTAACGTTGCTTAAATTGGCGTCCAAAGCGTTTGCGGCATGTCGGATATTTGGTCATCATGCTGTGCACCCAGATGGATAGAGACGGACAGCGAGACACACACACATAGCAAGGAGAGAAAGAAAGAGAACGAAAACAAATGAGCAAATGTTATGCATTTAATGCGTAGTTTTTTTGTTTGCAATATAAAAGTAACAAACAACAAAACAGAATTTTAAAAGTTCCAAAATTAAAAGCAAATTTTCTCTTACCCCTCGCTAGACGTTAGTATTTTTTTGTATGTGCAAATGGTTTAGATGTATGTGCGTGCGTGTGTGTGTTTTTGTTGTGGATGTGTGATGTGTGGTGATGGGAGTTTGTTGGGCGTGATGTGATGATATGGGTTGTTTTTTATTTTATTTGTTTTTGTTTTTGGTTTTATTTTAAAGCAGCACGCGCGTAAAAGAAGAGAAAGACAAAGAAAGTTTTGGTATTAGAATAAAATAAAGCATAATCAACCAAATGTAGTGTATACAAAAATTTGAGAAATGTTTGTACTAAGAGAAATGGCAAGGATGGAAAACTATCGATAGCGTGATATAATCGATTGGAAAACTATCAATTGTTTTCCAATATGCAAATATGTATAGAAATCAAAGAATTTGAAAAAAACTTACCCCTCCTTTAGTAATACTGGTTCTAGTGGCAGCTGCGGCATTGCCTGCAACTGTTTGCTAGGCGTGTCGCAGGCATTTGGCGTTGAGATGACCTCGAGAAAGTGCTTTACCGCATCCACATGCTTCTCAGTGCAGAATTTTTTGTACAACTCGCCGGTGTACTCCTCCTTGCAGGGTTGCTGCGACGATCGCGAACTGACCAAATTGCCCAGCGATTGTATCGTTTTAGAGATGAGCGTTAGGGTGCGATTCGTTTGGGCATCCTGCAGAGAAAAAGAGCAAAATGAGATCAAGAACACCAAATTGTTATGTTTCTGCTTACCAGTCGCTCTGTGGTCAGGTCAAAAAGCTTGGGACCTAGTATGGCGGGTGCAAAGAATCGCAGAAATATGAAGCCAGAAACCACCGAGTAGCGTACCTCGCGATTGCGCGGAAAATGTTTGCCTGCGCATTCGCGCAAATCATAAAAGATCTGGCAGAGGACCTTGGGACAACGCTCCGCACTTTTAGTGATAGCCTCGAAAACGCGCTCCACGTAATCCTTGAGATTGTGCAGATTAGTGTCAACAGCTGAGCGATCCTTCACCTTGCTGGGATCAATTTCGCATGGTTTCTTCTCGGCAACAATTTGTGATAGCACCGGACGTAGCGTCTGGTGCAGATAATGAAGACCCGATAGCCGCATTGCTTCATCCATCATCTTGGAGACGAGTGTATTACCACGGAAAATGGTCGTGGGATCGGTCAGATTCGAAATTTCATGATCAGCCAAGGCTTTGATAATGGGCGCAATGCGCTCCGTATGCGTGAAGAGGCGTACTAGGGGCTGCGCCACCTCCGTTTTGCCCGACACGAGTTCACCGAGAATGTACACTGAGGATAGGGTAATAGGCCGCTGATCAACCGACTCCAGAAGCAAGTTAAGTAAATCATCGTAGGTGGCAAGCGGAAATACATGATCTGCTGTATAATTTAGATTCAGGCGTAACGATCCAATTGTGGAGTCCACGCTGAGTCGAGTACCAGGTGGCGTGGCGCAGGAACGGGGTGTGGCATTCAGGGAACGGCAACTGTTCGTCGTGGTGCGCGGCTGCAGATAATACCAAGCAGATGGCTGTACCGCCTGCTGCTGTTGATTGTTGAGCATCGGGAGACGGACCTCGCCCAGGAATATCTTATCTGTCATAGCGCCATGAGCGTCGTGCCAAAGCGTGACAACAATCTCGCAGAGATCAGCGCCGCCAAGTGGGTAAATCGCATAGGCCTTATTCGCTGAGGATTCAAGCGACGCAGCAGATTTGTTACTATTCGTGGTGCCCGTGCTGCCTGCCTCAGAGTCAATGGAGAGATCGAAGTACATGACCTCATCGAACTCAGGATCGACGGTCTTCTTGCGTTGCTTAGTGCGTTTCGTAATCACCTGCTTGTTGCTGTAGTAGGCCGTGCAGATGACAAAGGGATCACAGGTGCCCTGCTTTTTGGCCAGATCTATGCACGCTGGCACACGAATTGCCACGCGCACATTGCTGGCGTGCGCATTCTTCCAATTGGCCAGCTGATCCGTGGAGGATGCTGCCAGATGCGCCTGTAATTGCAGCTGCTGTTGCTGCTGGTGGTGGGGCACATGTCCAAACAGGCCTGCCGCCCGAGTCTTGAGTGTCATGGCCGCAGAGTTGGCGCCACTTGCTGCTGCCGCAGCTGCAGTTCGCTGAATGTTGCTTAGTTCGTTGTTCTCCTTGTAGTCATTCAGATGGGCACGTTGATGATGCGGATGATGCTGCAACGAATGCTGGACCAGTTCGATGCTTTCTGTTAGCAACTGAGGAAGCTCCTCGAAGGTCACTTGAATATGCACCATACCCTGCACCTCTGAATCGGAATCGACCGGACGCAGCGAGAACCAGTGATCCTTGTGGTTGTACTTGTGCAGCTCCTCTCTCTTGATAGCTATTTTGCCAATTGGCTTGTCTTGCTTCATATCCCGGTCCCACACATAGACAGATAGATAGCGAAATCGACGCGGTATTTTGAACTGATACTCCTCGCCAAAAAAAGGCGACAGGGTGCGTTCACTGATGGGTGTGCGGCATATTTCCTCCTGATCCAAGGCAATGGTGCAGTATACATCTCGAGTGCCCTGAGTGCTGCAACTTGTGTTTGCTGCATTTCGACTGCTCAGATTTTTTGCTTCACCTGAAAGTCAAAAATTTGTTTTTAATATAAGAACGCAAGTAAAACTATTACTGAAAAATATTAACCGATCTTCAATTGAAACCAGTTGTTCCGTGAACCGAACCGGCAACAATCGTTTGATTGTGACTCCAGCCCTAACGTAAAGTGAATAATTATGCATAACTATCGCCATAAATTTGTTTTGGTTTCAATCATATCTAACATCGATAAGATTACGCTTGACCTCTTCAAAAGTAGCGAAATCTCATTGCGAAAGCAGCAGTTGCTTAACAAATCATTACGGCTTAAATACAACATTATTTAGCACAACGTATTTGAGCGTTTCGTCGGCTCACTTTGATGCCGCCAAAGGGCAGGCCAACACCAACGTGACTTCCTGTGCGCCGATAAATTGCATTATCGATGCGCAGCCCCACCTGGGTGAAAAACAAGCGGCAACAACAAATACAATGCCAGATGCTTGACTAGACGGCATGTCCCTTTTTTAGAGCGTTAAAAGTTAATAATAAGAGTGCGCTGCTGCTGCTTCTGCTGTTGCCTTGATAAGCCAAGTTAATCAGGCAATGACCAGCGGGAAGGCATTGGCAAAGTTAACTCAATACAGTAAAAACGTTGTAACCGATTTCGATATACTCTGTTTACAGTTTAATAATAGAAATACATTTTTACCTTGTGAATTTAAAACTGTAACCGCACAGCAGTGACTTTCAAACTAACACATTTATGGTATTTGCATATGTGAAATATTTTGTATCAATACAAATTCAACAGTTTGATGCATAAAACTAATATACTCTTTCTTGACATTTTGCACAGAATATAAAAATTAGCAGCGGCAGTCGAGCGGAAATATAATGCGTATGATGAATATATATACATGTGTGTGCGTGCCAGGCAGCACGTTGGCATGCAAAGGCAAATGCGCAAAAATTTTGTGTTGTGCGACTCTTCTGGCATTTCCATGAGCCGAGTGGAGAAAATGCCTCTCCGGCCATCCTATTGACACAGCTGGCTGGGCTGGACTAGGTGAACTACTATGATAGCGACTCGCCTATGTGCGTGCGTGTGTCTGTGTGTAAATGTTTCTTTTGGCAAGAGACCAATTGGGCTATACATATATATATATATTTGCCTATTGTTTGTACTTGTGTATTAGTGACAGAATAACGTTTCTTTTTACGCTCGCTCGCGCTCTCACTTTGTTGTCGTAAGAAAAAACCCAACAAATACGATTGATAACAAAAGACGATGAAGCCGACGGTTGTCGTTGTTGCTTTTATTTCGTTTTTTTTCGTCTTGGCATTCCAAGTTTCGTTTTATGAATGGAAGAGGCAACGTAAATGCTACAAGAAAAACAATACAGTCACATTTTATATGCAAAAATACAAACGAAAGCAGCAGCAACAACAAAATGAAATGAAATAAAATACAAATCAAATGACAAAAAAATGCTTTTACTCTTTGCTCCCCCCGCTCGGATACTATTCAGTCGTTTGCTTACTCTCTCCCTCTCTCTCTCTTCTCTCTGTCTGTCTTTAGCTTGCTCTCCTAACAGCGACACGACAGACAGTAAGTTTCATTCATTCATGATTCATGAATTGGCATCGCGCGCTGCTGCTGCTGCTGTTGCTGTTTTGTGTCGTTTTCACATTTTTTCGCCTCTGTTTTTGTTGGCAGAGGGAATTCCATGCTCCTCACAGCCAGTCAAACAAACTGCCGAATTTTGTGCGCTGTTATACTATACGCTGTGACACTTTATTATACAAAATTCATTAATGCAGGTTTTTCCTTCCTTCCTTCCTCTGGCTTTCGTTTATGCTTCTATATTGCGTGGCGTTGTCACATGACAATACACATATACAAACACATATACACGCATACACAGTGAAATTCCGTTTGAATGAACTGCAGCATTGGCTAAATTTAACCGTAATAATTGGGTTTTATACCAAATTATTTAATCACAGAGAAAGTCAAGGTAACGTGTTAGTAGATAACGAATTTCTAGGGAACCCAAACCCACATACACACATATATACATATATATCGAAATGAAATTGCGAAACTGTAGAACAGAGCGCACATCATCCGTTCGATTGGCCGTCCTTGAAAACGGTTTAAAGTTCATATCATATTACATGTGCCAAGTAATCATTCCACTTTATGGATGGGGGCTTTTTATAAACTCAAGCGGAAGTGAAGTTTTTTTCTTTCTGGTTTTGCTTTTTCCAAAGACGTACGATATTTTATAGATTTTATAGAATTATAAAGTATAGTAAACAAAAACAACATTTGATTGTTATGTTACCAAGAATCTAGTAATGAATTCGGAAATTCCCTTCTTTTAGACACTAATCTATACACACGAGAGATGACTCGAGTTCTTTAAAATATCTTCGATAGATCATAAGATAGAACTTGAAGTACTCACTGAGCGAAGCTCTTCGAGTCATATGAAATGCATTGAGGCAATTAGAAATTAAATTATGTATTGATAACAAGACTTTAAAAGGGTTCAATTTGTATTTTTTAATATGAATCAGCTTATATGATTAGCGCAATATCTTTTTGGCTCTTCCCCCAAATTTATTTGAGTTGATGGAGGGATCTAATAATAGCGCCTGTTTTACACGTGTTCCATGTGGCAACATCTAAGGCCAGCCACACACACACACATACACATTGAATGAGTGCTCGACACGTCCCCCCCTCTCTTCCATGATGATGAGAAGGAAAACGTAAGCCAAAAACAACTTTGACATTTGCTCATGGAGTGTGCCCCGTCAATGTCATTCAGGCGCACACAAAATTACGACACGATTCGTGCAGCTAGAGAATCGGCTTTTCAAAGATAGATGTGAATATCTCTATATACATATATCTATATATATATACTGTATGTATGTTAACGTAAAAGGCGCGCCTCGTGTTTCGACAGACTCATTAAATGCTTTCAATTTCCAGGTCCCCGAAACGGCAAAAGGAAAATTAAATTTAAAGGCTTTGTAAATAGATTTAATTTTGATGCCAACTCTCCTACGCTTTTCCTTCTCTTCTCTGTCTGTCTGTCTGTCTGAGTGTTTCCCATTTTCTGTTTTTCCTTTTGCACAATATGCAAATTGATTCAGTGCAGCGTGAAACGCCTGCGAATTAATGAGGCGATTACTTCAAGAGCACTGCATAAAAGCTAAGAAAACGAAGGAAAGACACTTTGGACTGGGGAAAAAAGAAGTTGTGCGGTCTGCGGATATTCTAAAAACAAAGAAAAACGACAAACAGCTCAAGATTGGCAATCCGAAGATCGAATCCCCTTCCAAAACTTAAATGTATTAAGTGTGTCTATTCAGATATCTTTAGATTTATATACATTAGAAAGTATATACAATTATTTATTGTAATTCAGCAACATTATGCTGGAAAAAGCGAATCAAATTATTATACCCCTTTGCAGGGTGTAGATAAGGAAAAAAAAGTCAGCGAAATTTGTATGCGAACGAAACGGAAATAGAGATAAATTCTCTCGCGCTTTATATGTGTAGTGGATATATATTTTGTTCGCACTGCCGAGTCAGCGGATGAGAGATTTACAGACAGACCAAACGACTTTGACGTGATGATGATGATGATGATGATGATGACGTCTGGGTCTCTGGCCGTTTGTCTAAACGTCAGCTTCCTGTCGAGCAAAGATTACTTGCACTTTATGCAGATTTTAACCAAAGGTGTACGCCCTCAAAGCTGCACTCTAACAGATGTGTGTGTATCTATGATATAGGTCTCTGCTTCTTGTTGCATTCATAATAGCGTTGCACATTTTAGCTGCATTCATTTCCCTAGGCCCTGTGAACAACTTCCTTTTTCCGTTTGCCACTTCCTTTTGGTCACATAAAAAGGGTTACGCTCCAATCTAATTGGAACCAAAGGAAGTAACTGGTTAGTTAGCGTGCAATCAATCCAGTTTACTTCAACAGGCCAAATATGCAATTGCATTTTCATTTGATGCTCTTCTCCAGTCCTCCGGTTCTCCAGTTCTTGAAGAAATGAGTACATTTTAATCATTTACACAAAACTTCCCTCGTCTGCTTTTGCCCGGCATGTCTGCTTCGTCTCTTTCTCTATCTCGCTCTCCCTCTCTCTGTATCTCATCTGTTGCGTCCGTCTTTGTCTGTTGCGTTGCTGTACGTGCCGATCGATTTCCGGTCTGATTACGTTTCTCATCCACACGATCATCTTCTTCTTTCGCCTGGTCGCCCGCCCGCTTCCCTGTGCGTCTGTTGTTTGGCTTCTGCTCGCGTGTTTACAGCTTTTCATTAGCGTCATTGTTCGTTCGATCGATCGATCGATCGCTCGTTCATTGCCGTTTTGATCATTCTCTTATGAAGCACTTGATGTCGCTTGATACACGCGGTAAACGAGCCCTAACTTATGGGCAGCTATCTAGCCTACCTGTATGACTATTGTTATTGTTTGTAGGCTGGCTGTATAGAAACAGGCAACAGGCAAGTAGCTTTCTATCGTTTGTTTGAGCTAATTCATAGCAACGAAACAGTCACACTTAGTATTTTTATTTGACAAATTAGTAACCTGCAAGATTTTTTCCATTTGAATTTAATGTGATTCATTCAATTTATAAATTTTTCCTATACCTTATAATAATCATAATCATTCAATATTCCTCCTGATTTACTACAAATTCTTTCTCATTTCTGTCGGAATTCCGTTGATTTCTTTCGTATATTTTTCTTGTTTTGGTTATCAATTTCATGTCTGGACTCTTGTCAGCATCTTAATATAATCAATATGGCAATGAGTAACCGCATTTCTGCCTTGTCATTGCTAGTTGTATCTTGTGGTTGCGGTTGGTTCAGATGATATATGCGAGCGCTTTGCTTGTGCTTGTGCTTTATTTATTATACAGCTCTACAGCTACGAGTACGGCCACGGCTTTCTGTTTTTCCTCTGAGTTTTCATCAGTGCAACTTCAACTAATTATAAATGTA